TTCCAAAGTGAATTATGATTAGTCCTTCTATGTTCCTTCCCTCCTTACTTCCCTATTTTTCTTTGTCTATGTGTGTAACCACAAAACCTTATATAAATAGGCTCATTTGATGCTAACATGAAGTAACTGGAAACAAAATGTATATTTTATTCATATCAACAGAAGTGTCTGTGTCCACCAAAAGATGTATACACGAAATTCCCTAGCAGCTCTCTTCATGTTTGTCAAAACTAAAAACATTCACTGCAAGCATCAATGCAGAATGGATTTTTAAAATGTAGTTATTTATGGTAAGTAGCAATGAATAAAATCAAGTTGCTATACATAAAAATGGGTGAAACACACACATGAATATTAATGGAAACTAGTCCCCAAAACAAATGCATGGGTATTTGTGCCTTTTATTTATCGTTCCATTTAACTAATTTTGAAAGCAGGCAAACCAATCTGTGATGATATAGATAAGAACAGTAGTTGCCTTTGGTGGTGCTGGGGTGGAGAGAATGTTACTAAGAGCGGGAAAGGCAGAGATTTCTTGGGTGCTGGAGGCATTCTGAGTAGTGGGTACAAAACTGTATCACATTCCCAAGTTCATTTAACTGTACAGTGAACATTTGAGCATGTCTGTATGTTCATTAAAGTTTTTAAAAATGAGTTTGACTGTAGGTTCTCTTTGAATTTTTCAATTAGTTAGACCTTGAGCGTAATAAGCACCTCTGTACATGCAATCAAAATGTCTTGAGACTATGGGAAGTTGCTCAAAGTATAATGATGAGTATTGATAAAAAGACTAAAAGCTCAGTTACAATTTTTAAGTGACTTAAGTAGATGCTTCCCAGTACTTACACTCAACTTTAGTCAGAAGCATTTCACCTGATTGCAAACCCAACATCTCCAAAATCAACTCCTCTGCTCTCCATTTCCTCCTGCCTTTTCTATCTCCACTGGCTTACACCATTTATTCATTCATTCATTTATTCATTCATTCCAAGTCAGACACAACCATCTTGGACGCTTTCAGCCCAATCAGCCCCTTCTCCTACCAAGTTATTTCCAACTCAGCTTCCATGAAATTGCTCTTTCTATGCCATTTCTTCTACTTCAGTTCAGCTGCCTCCATTTCTGGCTTAGAGTAACCCAGTTGCTCTTCACTAGCCTCTACTGCTTTGGTGGGCTGCTCTTTTCACATCTGGCTTTGACCATATGATTGATTTTCCTGCTAGGAATATTTCAGCAGCTTCCTATTATCTTTAGGCCCAGTTTTTAAACATACCCCAGAGAAGGGAACACCCACCTACTTTTCCACCTTGTCTTCTTACACCTTTACATAGCACAGTATTTGGTCACATGTTTACTGTGCTTCCACCAGCTAACTCCTGTCACTTCTCTCAGCACCTGATTCCTTCATTCTAACACAAAGCTTTACCTCACTTTCTTCATGACCCAGAGCTGGGTTAGTTACCCCCCTTCGGCACTGCCCTATGTCTTAATCAGAGAAGCTAAGAACAGCATACAGCTTGCTGTAATCAGCAGGATGCTCACAGGTCTGTGGTCTGCTGATAAAGTAGTGACTCCAGTGTTGACCACAGATCTCCACTGCCCAGTGCAGAGACTGCACGTTAGCAACTGCTCAGTATGTAGTTCTTGAATGACTGAATGGTCAGGTCAATAAAAACAATGTGCACATAAGAACTCACTGAGATAAGTCAGCTCTCCACTGCTGCCTGCCTAATGCCGGCACTGGCCTTAATAATCAGTTTCTACAATGACAGGGGAGGCACAGGTGAAGGTTCTGGACAGATGCAGCAGAAAGAGACCATCACCACTATCAAAACATAGGAATGAGTGACAAACTTTATCTCCATTTTTGGGGAGACAAAAGCAAGTGAATCGTCCAGAAATGTTGACTTTCATGTATCTCCATATTAAAATAACATGTCATAAAATTAACTTTTATTTTCTGAAGCCATGATGTGAAAGAAAGAAATGTTAATGTAACCAGTTAGTCAAATGGTCTTCAGGCATTTTTGGGCAGGAATTTTGCTTTGATTAATTTCCTAAGTGATTTCTTCATAACTAATTCAAATGCACTATGAATATTCATAAATTTTGTATTGTAGAAATATGCTGTATGAGTTCAATAAAAATGAGTTTGAGGAGAAAGCTAAGAAAAGGGGCAGTAATTTGAAAATTTTTAAATCTGCTATTCAAAAGGACTGACTTCTCATATCAGAATGAGCAATTCTTAGGATTAATCTTTTACATCCTCACCAAGAGTACACTGGAAAAGCTTATCAATTTACAAATATAAACACAGGAGAGAGCAACAAACTACTGGACAACTCTTCTATGACTAATCATAATTAATCTTCAACACTTCTGAGTTCTAACTGACAAATGGATGTTAAGAGAAAGATACCAAATAATAGAACACATCTTGTTTTATCAAACAGAAACAGCTCTCAAAACTCATCAGCACTTAAGCCTTCGTTTATTTAAGCTCCTCTACAGCACAGTATCTGAGTGTGAAATCTGGAGCCAGATGCAAAGACTCATCTTAGTTCTATTAACTGTTAGCTCTGTGACCGCAGGTCGGCCACTCCACTTGCTGTCTCAGTTTTCTCGTCTATAAAGTGACAGCAGCACATCTATTTTTTTTGGCAACTGGAAACATTAAATGGTCTAATCCATGTAATGTGCTTAGAAGAGCACCTATATAATACTGAGGGAGAGCTAGCTAGCATTTCCTGTTCCCTAGTGTGGCTGGATACAGTGGTGAGTAAAGGTAGTTCCTGTCCTGTGAGACTGTCACATCAGTAAGTTATGTATTCAGAAATCTTAAGCAATAACAGGACGCAAAATGATTATTGATTAGATGTTGAGGGCCAGGAAAACGTGAACAAATATCCAGTATTTTGCAGAGTAATATGAGTTTTCTACTAAATAAATTAAAAAAATGGAAGGGTATTAAGAAGACTGGGCCCTCCAATCAGAAATATGATTAAAAACTATTACAAAAGTAATGAACTTATTGTACCAAAAGATCACAAATATAAATTTATGATTATCATGTAAGACTGTATAAAAAACTGTGATATAATGTAAGACTAAGAAGACAACAGGAATGCAAACCAAGTGCAATCACTAAAAATGATTACTGCCAACTCTAGGCCTTACATTCCTTGGCAAGGTCAAATTACAACTGTGCAGTGGGGTCAATTAAATTTTTATGATACCAAATTATAGGTTAGTTCTTCTTGAGGAGGCCTCTCAGAATTTAGCTTCTCTTCATTCACCTCAAAGAACAGACTAATTAATTACTGAAACAATAATAACCATTTACTGAGAGGTTATTATGTGTCATGAAGTATACATATTAATCAAGCATTCACTTTAATGTGCCTCAGTTGTTAAGTCTTTCATCTAAAAAGGACCTTATTCTAGGAGCTCAACCACTTGGTATTTTGTATTTATGCTACAAGAAATTCTTGGACTTAGCTTATAAAAGCAATAAAATAACTTCACTAAAGTCAGTCAGTGTTAAATAAATATAAATTATAATTAAACAAAATCAATGTTGTAGAAACTCATTGTTTAAGATATACCTAAATAAATATAAATTATAATTAAACAAAATCAATGTTGTAGAAACTCATTTTTTAAGATATACCTATATGTTTAAGATATACCTATTTTTTTTTTCAAACAGGAACAGACAATAATCATAATGCTACTTCAGTAACCTGCTCTGCCTGCTCAAGACAGAAACAGGGACTCCGTGAAGCGACACTCAACAATAAAGTGGAAGCTATCAATAACAGAACCAAAGCATCAACATTCCTTGCCCTGTGAACCTTCTTAAACACAAAATACGGGTTAAATCCAGTAATATCAGGCGAAAGATGAATTTCTCCCTGGATTTCTTTTCTTATTCACATTATGATATCAACTATTCAGGTCTCTTAAGTATTTGTATTTACTATTACAAATATATGTGGTTTGATAACTATCAAAGCCTAAAACATCTCAATCATTAAAAAAGCAAGGATGAGTTGAGGTATAACAAAAAAAAAATACTCTGATTATAAAAAGCATAAAAGTTATCTACAAAATTTAGTGTTTTCATTGTATTTTCTCAGTTCTATCTACCAACAGTAGTAATGCACATTACTGCTACCGGATGCAAAATTCACATAAAGTCTAATGTGAAAAAATAAGAGTAAAAGATGAACCAATCAATATGATACAGAGGAAGGAAAATGAAAATAAAACACAGAACAAAGAAGAAATACACTGGGGAAAGAGTTAAGATATGGAAAATCCTCTTATTAAAACATTCTTTCTCATGATGAGAACAGGAAGTTTAAATATTAATTTCTAACTGCAAGTTTTAGTTTAAGTCATCTGCAAAATGCAACTGAAAGCACGGACCTGAGCTGAAAATGCTGTTCCTATTATTTAAATTTGCATATGATGAGAGGGGAATGTGAGGAAAGGCAGAGAAAACAGAGAGGTGAGTTTCACAGAGTGGGCAGAAGGGGAGCCTGTGGGGGCCTGACAAGTCTCAGCAGCCCGAGGGCACCCAGGATGTTCTCAAGGAAGACAGACTGGAGTGGAAGGGAATAATGTCACAAGTTCATGTACTTTTACAACATCATCTTAGGGCAATTCTGATTCAATATTCTCCAGCAGATAGCCTATGCATATCAAAAAAAGGTAAAACAAAAACCTTAACATCAACTATCAGCATTCGTCATAACAAAAGTCATTTGGTACTTTATTAATACTTGAAAATCATAGCTCAATAAACATGTACTAGGACTGAGACGGAAGTTTATTTTCTACTACTTTGGCTCAAAAATTTATTTTTAAATTTAGATAAATTTAGAGGATTTTTTATTCTTCATAGGTTTATTTCATATAGCCAGTATGAGTATGAATAGCAAATGTTTAAATTAAACAAAAATAGGAAAAACAATATATCTAACAAAATGTCATACCTGGAGGTACTTCTTGTTCTTCTGTATGGGACACATGTATATCTAAAACAAATAACCAAGTTAGAAACCATTACATATTACTGAATGGTATTTAAAATAAACTGAAGCTTGCTGATATTTAAGTTATAGTGATTATTTTTCATAACTCTTTTGGTATACAATTGCAATTATAAAAATATTGTTTTTATGCCATTTCAATAAAGAGCTAACTATAAGTTTGCAAAATGTTTGCTATTTCTCAACTATTCTGCACAATAGGTTTTACACTGTTATCTGTCTAACTTACCTCAAAATTTACTGCCTGGCAAGAGAGATATGAACTAAAACCTAGGTTTTTACCACAATTTTGTGTCATATTTGATTAGATAGCTTATGTTTATTTTAAAAATGTGTTTAAAATTTAAAATGTGTTTATTTTTATTTTTTTTACCATACCCCTAGTTTTAATGTGAATGAAGCAATACAAAGAAATTAACTTGAAATACTTAAAAATAAATCATTATTCAAAATATTTTGAATATTTACTTGAAAAACAGTCAAGCTAGCAGTCTTAGAATACTAAGAACCAAAGCTAAAAACCATAGAAATGAACTTTTAACACCTTACTTATTTCCTTCGCTGTTCCAACCCACCACACCAGATCGCAGGCCTCACCACCCATGGATTAATGACATACTGATCTGATTTGGGCGAACTACACCACCTACTGGTGTCTTCATACCTAACAATGCATTTAATCTTAATCTAGAGATAAGATTTTTATTAGCTTTCCTCTCATATTTTAAGATTTGTAATAGGCATTAGTGAAAAGGAGGAATTTCAACAGCATTTTCTAAAACTCAATATAGGTATATATATATGTGTGTGCTATTTAAATCATTTTTTTCTTTTGTATTAATGTGTTTCTAGTTGTAAAAAATAAGATGCTCAAAATAGAATATTTGGGAATATTTTACATGATGTATTCTAACTGTAGGGCAAATGAGTCAAAAATCAGGCCCAAACACTGGCACCTGTGGTATTGCACAGGTAATTATGTCCCCAGTGATGGACACTTGGGCCTGAAGAACACGGGCATGCACATATATAAGTGGGGACACCTGTGGCAAGTGGCTATCAGGGCTGCCTTACTCTGAGGCAGGAGGACAGGGGGGAGGAGACAACCAGAGAACTAGTGAGAGAGCTGGTCTGTCTCCTGATTCAGTATTAAAGGCCTTTTCATTTGTGAGAACTTACAAAAACCTCCCTGCCCTGGGAGGGCTGCAAAATATCTAAACAGACATAGAGCACTGAGTAATGAAATGGCAGAAAATCTGATCTCCATCAGCCTGTAACATGGTGGTGAATCAGCTGTACACAGTGAGTTCAGTGCCTGCACAGGGCCTCTCCTGCGCCTAAGTGGACAATGAGTGCAATTCTGATGTCCCTCATTCCCTCCATCACTTCCTCTCTTTGCCCCCATTTAGTCAACTGTACTATTCTCCATTCTGCTAAGTGAGCATAAAAGTTATACTATTTAATCTGAAAACTGGTAACTAGTTGGTCATGAAGGAATTCTAGGAGTAATTCTATGAGCAAAATTCCCAGTTACAGGTCCCATTAGCAAGCTGCTGCTGGTAAAGCACATGGAGTTGTGCCAACTGTAGGTGCCAAGCTCAGGTTGAACACCAGTTTGATCAATTCTAGCCAGGTAATCAAGGACCAGCCACTTGCTTTCACTCCATGTGTAAAGTTCAAAGAAATCTGCCCTACCTCCCATTCACTGTATATTTTGAGGAACAATTGATACAACAAATTATGAAAGAACTTTGAAAACTGTTAGGACCATAAAAACCCAAGTTGTGTCCAAGCACATGTATCAGGTATAGGCAATGGCTTTACTTTTCAAATTATCCTTTAACTTTCAAAAAAAAAAAATTTCCCAATTAGGACCTAACTTTGAACCCATCTCTGTCTAACACTCACACTTCACCTCTTCCCATGTAGAGTAGCCTGACTCATCTAATCAGTCCATTTTTTGTATGATCCTGTTTTTATAACCATCATTGCACTTTTCTTAATCATTTTATCATTCTTTTGGCCACCAGAATGCCAGCCCTGATGAAAACAGGAATTTCATCTATCTTATGAACTCGTCTTCCAAGCTCCTGAGCACCATTGGGAGGGCACAGTAAGTGCTAGATAAATACTTCGGATGTAAAGTAAAATTACCTCTATAAAATTAACTTACCTTCTAAAATTGCGTTTGAATCTTCTACAGCTTTATCTAAAAAAAAAAGCAAACGCATCTTTACATCTAACTCAAACACCTATTTGGCTCTTTCTACAGAGGCTCACAAGTATTTCAAATAGAAGATACACTTTAAATTCTAAATTAGATTAAAAACAGTAAGGCTGGTAATAGCTCTGTTTACCTAAAATATGCAACATGGATAGGGAATAAATAAATTGACAATATCCAATTATTTTCTAGGTAACTTACATTTCTCATACCATTTATCTTTGTTGGACAAGTTAATGTCTTCTAATAAATACAGGAGGGTATGACTTTTAGGAAACATGTCCTGAGAAAATACACTCACCTGAATTTTCTCTTCCTTCATTTTCTGGCTCATATACTATAAAATACACAGAAAAAAAAATCCTTTAACATTGCATAGCTCTCATTATCAAACACTGGCTCAACAGTTCAAGAGCAGAGATGATGTCAAGTTTATCTGAGAACTGACCAGCAGGGTAGGGGAAGGATTTGGTCTGCAGTCAAACAAGCCTGGATTCAAATACTAGGTCAGCCACTTCCTAGCCATAAAAATGGGTGATTACATAATCTTCTTTCCCATAAAATGGGAAAATTCTCTTCTATCATGTGTTACTAGGATCCAATTGCAGGTGGCAATGGATTTCCATTTTTTGTTTTCTTCATGTATGTGGTAAAAGTTCTGAGTTACCCAGAATCTACCTGATTGTTACTCTGAATTAAAGTTTTCACCAGGTCAATTCTTTGATTCACCTGGAACATTCTCAGGTCTCTAACCTGGGAGCAAATACTGCTGCTGTTAGTACCTTACAACAAAGCATATGCTACAGACTTTTAATTCACTCTAACAACAATTCACTGCCCATTTCTTTCATCACCAACCTTGGACTTCATGTTCCTCTGCTCCCAACTCTGCAGCAGTTCTCTCACACCCAGTTTGGTTACAGTTTTCTCTAGTCAACCTGATCCCTGCTTTTCCCATCTTCCAAAATGTCCCAAGTTTCTGGTATCTTAAGTACAAGGTTTCTACCTTTCCCACCACAGTTATAAATGCCTCCTCCTTTTTGTTTATTTAACAGAGCGAAACTTTTGAGCACCTACTATTTTTGCAATATTCTCAGTGCTGGAACACAGCAAGGCAAAATTTTTAATACATTCTTCTGTCTGCTTCTGATGGTATTTGTAAGATAAAAAAGCATGGCATATTTGTCCACTCTGTCATCCTGAATCAAGTCAGCATTTAAATATGCTCAGTTCTTGCTGATTCAAAGAACAGAATCTTTTTTGACCCCACTTACACTGTCCTCTCATTTTTCCAGTTCACAATATTAACTTCTTCAGGGTCATTTACATCTGCTGCCACTTACATCATCACTCTGCTTTCACACTTCAACAAAGTCAGTCTGTTCTCTCCCCGACCACATTCCTGAGAAGCCTCCCTCCTCTAAGGCCACCAGTGAGCACATCACTGTATCTAATGGACATTCTCCACCCACAGTATTGAATCTCTTAGCTGCATCTTCTTTTTCATCTGTCCTTGAACTTAAATGTAACCATCCTCTCTTCTATTATTTTTCCTCTACCTTCTTTATAAGCCTTTGCTTATAAAGTATTATATATTGGTTTTCATCAAAGTTCAGCCATAAAAGCTCCTCTCTTCCTACTGTATTTTCTCTCCTTAAGTAAGCTCAGCTTTTGATTTCAATTACCATATATACGCTGATGATTCTCCAGCTAACATACAAATAGACTTCTCTGAGATCTACTACCATCAATCAGCTTATTTAATAGCTCTCTTTGGATGTCTCAACATGTACTATCACATGCATAAACTGGACTTGTGAACTTCTTCCCCCATTCCTGTTTTCCAGTCTGGTCTTAGGAGAAAAACACCCATTCATCAAGTTCATCGGCTGAAAGAGTAGGGGTGTTTCTGGACATCTTGCACTCTTTCCCCAGAGACTCTCACATCAAGTTCTGTCAGTTTTTACCTGTGAAGTACTTCTCAGCTTTGGTCACTTCCCTTCACATTCACTACAACCATGCCACCACTCTTACTTAAACTCCTATGATTCCTGGCCAATGTCTATCCATTGAAAATAGCTCTTGCCAAGTAAGGCCTCTGTAATTCCAGATCAGATGGATATTTGATCCTGATAAGTCCCCAGCAGCATGAAACACTGCTGAACATCCCTTTCTTCTCTTTTGACTCTGATTTGAGAGACCATGCAGAAATGATCAAAATTTGAAAAGTGCAGTAACCGAACAGGTCTACCCTTAACTACTCTTGCCTCTATGAAGGATTTTACACTTAGGCCCATCAATCTTTACAGAAATGCAGATGATTTCGTTGTGCTATCATCAGTGCCCTAAAGTGAAGATGAAATTTCTTTTACAGGCATCCTCTAGACCCACGTCATCTGACAATCTCAGCCATGTCTTTCTTCTTACTCTTAGCGTTTCACACCTCTCTTTCCAACTCTCCAGCCACCTTCCCCTTTGCCATGTAAACTGTTCTAATTTTCAGCTCAAACGTCAGTGAAACCTCCTCTAATCCACATAGGAGGTAAGGTCTTTTTACTACATACTCTTAATATAAGATGTATGTGTTTACTCCGGCACTTTTCAAAACGTGATTTAATATTAAACTGAAATATGAGGTCTGTATAAACTATCTCAAATACCTGCTGTTCAGAGAATTACTCCATCTCATATGTTTTGGACACAATTTATTTAATAACTATGTAGTGAATGAATAAACAAATCCATTAGATGATAAAACTGCACTGCCACTTCCTAGATGTATTCAATGCCAGCCTGATGCTTTCTAGGATATTGTTTTATGTGGAAATCTATTCCTCCAGAGATTTATTAAGTCATGTTTTTGAGATTCAAGAAAGTTGAATATAGAATGTATTCTGTTCTCCTACTGCAAAATGATTGTTTTACCCTATGTCCAGCTCCATTTCCCTTATTTGATAGTAACTTGATTTCTCTAGTTTGGCTCTTCTAAATAGTTTTTTTGTTTTAGCACACTGAATAATCCTCTAGAATAATTAGCTAAAATAATTCTGTTAGATCTATTTTGTTTGAAAATATTTGTGTTCTATAGCAAAGTTATCCAAAAAAACTCACCAAAACTTGATCCCTTAAGTTACATTTATTATTCTTTGCTAGCATTTTAGGTTATTGCTTATCAGGAATATATGATACTCCACCTATATATAAAATCATTAATTTTCACAACGAACTTCTCTCAGTTTGATTTTAATGTTATCTAGACTTAGTCTGCAAATTGTATTACAAACATGTTTTTTTTCAGTGTACTTAAGAAAACGTAATGACTGACTGAAGTTAAGATCAGTATCTCCATTCCCACATCTATATGTAAATTTAAATTGCCAAATTCCTATTTTCTCTTTTGAATTCCATATTGGCCAGATTCTTATTATAAAAAGTATTAATTCCTAAAGGAACAAGCCAAGATTCTTCAATGGTATCATTCATATCCCATTAGAAATAGCCACTGTGAGTAAGGATCACAGTGGGTGTCAAATCTTAAATATACACACTTAATAAATTAGCATAACTGGTCTCCACAAAGCCATCCCTAATACTCTTCAATTGAGATTCACAAACTATCATGAGATTCCAATTTCTTGAAAGTAGGGATTGTGTATTATTTGTCATATCTGAATGCCAAGTCACCCAGCACACAGAAAGCTCCATATCTGACTCAGCATTACAATTTTTTTCCTCTCCTTTGCCTTACAGACACAGTTATAACCAACCATCGTTTCCTTCCAGAATCATTTTTGAAGATACTGGAATTAAAAGAATGCTCCATTAGCTCAACCATTTCCTATTCTTAAAGAAATTAATTATATTCTTTGAACCTTATTCCTCTCATCTGAGCAGCAGGGAAAATAAAATCTGCTTCATGAAGTTTAATAAAACAGAGAAGTGTCTGGGTAACAATAGGTTTTAAAGTTGCTTAAACCTGACTGTGCTACTATTCATGACCCAAATTTGCCAGAATTATTTTCTCCAAGCCACCTTCAAACCCAGAATTAAAATTTTCTGTACCTTTCTCTAAACTGGTAGATCAGTACTTAAGACCAGGATAAATTGTAGGCACCAAAGTAAACTTTGACAAGCTTAGTTTTTGAAGCACAAGGCATATTTTAGTCAAAAGAGAGACATGACCATAAAGTAATGAGAGGAATTTTCCAGAGTTGTTTCCTGAGGCAATTGCAAAGAGCTTACTATTTAGATAACAGCCAAAGCATTGAAATAGGGAAAAAATCCCCTGTAAATTTTATTTGAAAACCTATATTTAGTTGGATGCTTTAAGTTATGGTATTTGTTGCTTAAAATACCATTCTCTACATATTAGAGCCAAACTATGAGTAGATCTTAAAAGAAGCCAGTAGCGTTAGGTTAAAAAAATATTTTCAAACCTTGCTCATCATAGTCTTGGTATGTTACATCATCTGCAAAAGGAAGAATAAAATCAAAATAAGTATGTAATGAATCATTCCATGTAATTACTTAACTGAAAAACACAACAATCTCAAATACAGAATTCTACTTCTTTAAATAGATGTACATTCAATGGTAAATGCCTCTGCTCAAAAGCAGCAAGAGGAAAGAGTAAGTAAATTAGTCTCATAAAAATTCCAAAATTTTTATTTTTAAATTCCAAAATCCTTGCATAAAGCAAGATATGACAAAGTAGTACTAGGAATTAATATCTTGTTCTTTTGTGCAGTCAGTGGTAGATGAGGTACAATGTGGAAGTCTGATATTTTTTTAAATCTCATTTTGTTGCAAAGCAAAATATCTTCTATTAGTTGTGAAAATTACTTCTTTGACTCCTTTGAAAGAAAAATCATTACAACAAAGAATTGCAGCCTTCAAGTCTTATGCAATGATTAAAATCTAGTAAGATTGTTTATTTAATACCTGCATGGTGGTATAGTCTTTCATCATCTACTACTGGTTCGCTGGAATCTAAAAAATAACAGAGCGACACCTTTACCAGACATGAACAAATGAAGCATATAACTCGATATATTTCATAATTTAAAAATATTTAAAATTAATTCTGATCTTCACAATCATGTATTATAGAAATTAACAGTATCATTTAATAACATTTAAAATTACTAAGATTCCATAATTTGCTAAATCAGAATGACAGGAAGGACAGAACTAGGAATTGCTTTCAGTCTCACTCTTCTGTAGACACTGTCTCATTGATTTCCAAAATTCTCTCAAAGGTAGAAATTCCTCTTTTGTACCTCATTTCTTCATGTAATATGAAACTATACTCAGAAATTTCTGGGCAACTAAAAATGATTGAGGATTGTCAAGAGATCTCTGTGTTAAGAAAAAGTGAATCATTAAACCTGGGTGAAAATTTCTTCTGCAATGGCTTCAAACAGAAACACAAATGACAAACCTGGATTCTCCTGTTCATAAATTATCTCTTCCACATCCTGATTATAGTCCTGTGCAGCTATAAATGAAGAAGTAATTATCAAATTACAACATGTCTCAAATAAGGAGTACACTTCATATTCAAAATAGGAAAGCACAATTCTAGTAATAACAGGAATGTAAACTCATATCATATTGAAGCTCAAACTTTCATTTGCTCTTGGAACAAACCAGTACTAACTGTACTAAATGCCAAATACAAAAATGAGTAAGACAGTCCCCATCATCAGTAGATTTAAAATTGAGCCACAAAATCATGGAGCTTATTCTTTTATCTTATTCTAATTCAACTGTATTCAGCAAGACAAAAATGAGACAGAAAACAGAGAGCGGTAGAGATGAGCTCCCCTCCCAGCCACCCTGACCTGTTACAGCGTGAGTGAGACATGCACATTTCCCAGCCTCTCACTTGTACTCAATACCTCAGGACTCAGAGACTGCAATATAACGCTAGTGGTTATAGCTATACATAGTGTTGAAAAATACAGGATCTAAATGCCAGCCAACAAAATCCCATAATATACAAGCACAGAGAGAGGGGTTTATTCCAACACTGAAAGATAAACTGGTCATAGGCTCCCTGAAAGATGATGTGTTCATCTCTACTGTGGTCATCCTTCTGGAGATGTGTGACATGTGACAATCTATTATTCTGCCTTTTCATTGACTTTGTAATTAAAAAAAAAAAAACATAATATGCAAATATATTGCACATTTTGATCTAGTGATCCCATGCTAGGAATTAATCCTCAGGAAGTGGACTTCAAGACCACAAAACTATATTCACAAAGATATATACATATATAAATAAAACTAAGATAGATGGTATATATAATAACATAATTATTAACTATATCTTACATATATCTGGTGCATTATAAAATATACCATTGTCAATAATCACAGATAATGTTCTTTCTCTCGTGATGCTATTTTGTAGGAAAAGATGCTACAACCTGAAAAATAATAAAATTCTCACCTGTGTTTTCCACATGATAACTATCACCAGCTTCTGGAACAAAATTAAATCAGGATTACTACTATCATAACATGGTATGTGGTTTTTATCTATTTACCACTGATTTTATTTTGAAAACATGTAATTTAAAACACAAAAATATCAAATAACTGCTAAATAATCTCCTACTAGTAGTATAGTTAGAAATGTCTGATACATTTTCTTATTGAGCTATTCAATAACTCCCAAGACTGGCAAACACCATAGCCTGGGCTAGAGAAAAATGGTGATTTTTCTCTCTAGAGAGAAAAACAGTCATAATGGCTGAACTCAGCAAAGATGAGTTTCTAGTCTACTGCCCATTCCACAACACTATTTTGTTTTCTAGACATTTTTTGTTCATTTTCTGGAACAGCAGAATGTTTTCTACAGATGGGAACAGAAGTCAGAACAGAGGAGATTTTACAGGTCTGGGAGACGAGAAGTCAAAGTCTTGATATCCTTCCCACTAACATGACACCAATTAACTGAACAGCTCACAGTATAAATATTTTTTAATTTCTTTAGATTTTTAAAAATTCTTATTAGAATGTCTTTATGTATTAATTAAAAATTATGTCAGAAAATAAATGTTCTCAAATAAAAGTTAATGAAATTTTAAAAAAATTTCTCCTGCTCCCTGCTCTTAGCCTCAAAAATACCAAATCCTTGTGTTCCCATTTATGTGTCTTTACAGAAATTTGCTGTATAAGGGTAGCATCTAAGATACCAAAATTCTGAGCCACTGTCAAACTTCTTGAGTCTTCCTGGCCAAAATGGGAAGGAACATCATAGATAACAGGGAAATGTGGCATTATTTTATCATATTCTTACTCAGAAATTAGAATCTTTTTTCAACAGTCATAACATACATGATAATTCTCAAGCTCTAAAGTTGTCTATAAGTGCCTGTTTTCAAAGTACAATGCAACCAAAGTCAAACACATGATGTTTGAAAGCATTTTGAAATTTATTTTCCTCATAAAATTATATATTATCTGTAATTCTATGGGTTAGTATTAACATCAAACCATCCCTTAAAACTTTAAGTGCTTTTCCTACATTAGACAACAGGAAGAGTATCAGTGTCTGAACATATATTTTCTGTGGCCTGTGGTACCTTATTGTTGCACAGGGTCCTAAAGCACTTCAACCATAGACTCCAACAATGATTATGTAATGTGAAAAAAGGTTAATTTTATTTTGGTGCCATCAATTTCCCCCCCAATTTCAGAATAGATTTATTTTCTTTTGTTACTATTTAGAAATAAAGAATTCATTTTAAGTAAACAATGTTTCATTAGTATTCATTTTAAATATCAAGTCATATCATTTATATATTTATATGTTTTGAATAAAATTACACAATAAAGAGTACAAAGCTTCTGGTTTAAAGTCTTTAAAAGTTCATTTAGGTAAGGACTAAGGAACAAAGACAGTGAATAGATGCCATAGAACAAAGCATGTGTGCTTAGCAGTGCTTCAAATAAGCATGAAGTCTCATATCAAAACATGATAGAGCACAAAACAGATGGTGAAATTTACATCACAGAAATTACTTCTCATTAAGTCAGTCAGTAGTGAGCAATTATTAGCTTATAACTATTACAATTTTATTATTACTATTTTATGTATTGTATGTTATAATAATGATTAACTTTTATTAATAAGTCTAACTTACCTACTACAACTGATACAAGGTAAACTACTCAATTGATACTTAAATAACCAGCATTTAAAATACTAATAGAGAAAAAGATGTCAGCAAACTATGTTCCACAGTTGAGATCAAGCTTGACTTCTGAAAATATGGAAAACAGCCATGCTTACCCAGTTAGGGGTTATCCAAGGCTGTCTTTGTACTGTGATAGTAGAGTTAAATAGTTGTGACAAAAATGGTGTGGTCTGCAAAGCCTAAATTACTGACCTCTGGCCACTTACAAAAATAGTTTGCCAACACCTAGTATATGAAGCTAAGAATTGTATTCTGTCTGCCATAGTTACAGAGTTCATGTTATATAAATGTGTACTATAATTTATGTTATTTGCATTTCTTTTAAGAAATTACACTGTAAAGAGGACACAGTTGAGTAAAAGTAATGAGCTGAAGTATTTCACTTACTGTTCATACGAAATTTATATATTCAGAGACCTTCTCTTAAACAATTTTGAAATAGAATCAGTATCTATTTTATGGATAAAGTTCATTAAAATAACAACTATAGCCCAAAGTTAAATATTGGTTTTGGAAAGGCTTTAATGATTATAATTACAAATTTCTTATTGTACTTTATGTTGAAACCATAATATCTGTTCTACCTTCATGAAATTTGGTTTCCAAGGTCTCAAGTCTATCTTCTATATTACTTTCTACAGGAAACTGGTCTTCGGATGGCAGATCCGCTGTCGGTCCATCCTCTTCTTGCTGTAGGCCTCCTTAAACAAAAAGAATTGACAGAGTAAAGTAGGGCTATGCCCAAGGGCACAGAGCCAACAGCCAGCACAGACACCTGAGTCCCTTTTAAAGGATTACCAAAGTCCCTCTCCCACTGCTGGGGCTTCCCTGCCCCCTCCAACCTCTGCACATGCTGATGCCTGCTCTGAAGCTCCCATTCTGGCCAAGTACTAGTCTACCTGATGGGTATGCTCTCACTAGAGCATACACTCACCGAGGGCAGGAACCTCATATAATTTGTTCACTCTATACACTTAGCAGCTGGGGCTGTGCCTAGGCATAGAAATGCTCAAGATATATTTAATGACTGGATGAATTTATAATTATTATTATTAATATATCTCCTTTTTCAATTATCATTAGGTCAGAGAAAAGGTCACGAGATGACATTTTATTAGTAGTAATATGAAATTCCATGTTATGATAATAAAAGACTATATAAATTTTGTAATGCAAAATAGCTAGGCACCTATCTGAACATTATGCTAGTTATCTGTATTAAGTTACCATATTATACTTTACATCTAAAGGTTCCTATGTTTAGCCTGAAAGCTTTCCAAAGATGCCCATTTTTTTTCTTTTATGATATATAGAACTGTTTTGTTTCCTTCTGTGTAGATGTTGAACATACAGGATGGTTTATCTTATTATTGTGCTGTAAAAAAAATTCTCCCAATAGTAAGTTAACATGGTTCTAAACAGACTACTCCTGTGATACTCTTAACAAAAGAATTCTACTAAAGTGGACTTCGCTGGGCAGTGCAGCAGAATGATTAGAATAAGGTCTGTTGTACTACTGTAAGCACACAATACCACTGTAGAGATTAAACCACTTAGAAAGATGTGTAGCCCATAGTAAGTATTAAGTGGTGTTATTATCATTTTCATATTATCTCTTCTACCACTACTGAGCTCTCCCCTAAAAGTCCAGGAATGTCCTTGAAGTTACTTTTATGTTGGTACAGTGATGCTGTCAAGTGTTATTGACTTATGTAGACTAATTTATGTCAATACAATTTGTTTTCTATTTTCTTATTGTAGCCTGCTATATTGTTTCTCCTCATCTCAAATTTTTAGCTAGTCAGCAAACCAACTGTCAATTATAATTCTTGTCATTAGTTTTATGATTCTTTTTCTTGTTTCAGTATATTCCTTTTCCCTAACTCCTTTTATCCAGTGCAGTTCTGTAGGTTTCACATGAGCAACATTTAGATCTCTCAGTCTTCACTATTCACTACAACATACCTATTTTCAGTAGGAAAGCCAACCAAACTTTGTACACTATCTTCAGTCTCCTTTGCTCAGTCAGTGACAGCCTGAGACAAATAAATAGTCTTCTGAGGACTCACTGGACTCTTGGCACTACCAGTCATCTGCAGACATTATACCAATCCTATTATGTAGGTATTATTAGCCCCCTTTGGAAGATGAGGAGTTTGAGAAAACTTTAAAGGCCACCTAGCTAATTAATGACAGCTGCTGGACATGAACCAGTAATGAAATATAGAATGATGGGAGAGAAGGATGTTGGGCTAAAGAAGAGTGACTAAAAGAAGACAGAGATGGGTATAGGTAAAGCAGCATGCCAGGCCATATCAAACATGAGGAGAAGAGAAACAAGAATAGAAACAGGGACCCACATGAATAGTACTGCAATGGTCATGGTAAGAGGTGATGGTAAGGACCAACACAGTGCAATCAAGATATATATAGGAAGCAAAGTAGGTGGACCTGCTGATACACTGTAGTGAGGGAAGAGGAGCAAGAAATCAGAGGAAACTAGCAAAACCTAGAGAACCAAGGAGAACCCCTAGGTTTCCACATAAGCAATTAAGGTGACAAGGAGACTGCTAACCAAAACTGAAAGACTGGAAGAGTAAAAAAAGGCATATGAAGAGGTAGGTGGCAGCCAATGAGATTGTGAGAAAGTCAAGAGTTCTGTTCTATGTACGTTTAAGTCTGAAGTAGTCATAAAACATGCAAATGGAGGTAAGTACACAGTGGAATGAACCAGAAGTGCAGAGGAAGGCTCAGGGCTACAGATAGTTAATGTAAAGTGTTCAGAAGCAATATAAGTAAATGTAAAGGCATGGTCATTGTATACGATTTCCTAAGGAGAAAGGCTCACTAAAGTGAACAAGCCCAAGTCCTAACTAACATCAGTGCCAGACCTGATCCTCTTCTGTCTAGCTTCCACACTCAGCTACCTTTATCTGTACTGACCTTCTTCGCTTCGCTCGTCCCTGACCTTTGGCTAAACTTAGTCTGATTGAGCACCTTATTCAGAGGTTAACCTGGGTTAACCATGGCCCCTCCCGTCAGATCTCCCTGCTCTATTCTCCCTTCAACTCATTTTTCACCCTCACACAGAGCATAGAGCAATCTCTAATGCTCTTCAAAGACTTCAAATCCTCTTACAAATAAACATACCCTTCCTTTCACACTCCCACCTACGTATACAGGATGCCAGTCATCCTGAACTACTTTCAGATCCTCTTTTGTTCGTGAACTTTCACAAACACCACGGTTAACACTAAGAGCTATCACCAATAAGGCTTGAGTTCAATCCCCGGCCAGATCTGCCTGTTCTCCCCATTCTGTCTCTGGTAAGCCCTCTCACCCTTGGTCCCTGACCCCACACCTCTGGGTACACCCCAGCTCTTCTTAAAACAAACAAACAAACAAAAACTTTGAACTACTTTCAGATCCTCTTTTGTTAGTGAACTTTCACAAACACCATGGCTTTTGCTTAAAACACTGTACTGAGAGCGTCTGTGGTAGCCTAGGGCTTAACACTAAGAGCTATCACCAATAAGGCTTGAGTTCAATCCCCAGCCAGATCTGCCTGTTCTCCCCACTCTGTCTCTGGTAAGCCCTCTCACCCTTGGTCCCTGACCCCATACCTCTGGGTACACCCCAGCTCTTCTTAAAACAAACAAACAAAAACTTCAGTTAATGACATTTACCTGGCAAAGCTCTACACTACCAGAATCATTTTTGATTCAGAAATCAAAAAGAGATTTCCTCCAGGAAACTGCTACTAACTTTTAAGTATGGATAACTTTCCATAGCACTCACCTCATTATATAGACAACATCAATTTATTTAGGCTGCATCCTTCTTGTGTTAGGTTGAAGTTTAAAAAAAGGACACAAGAAGAGGAAATCTGTACATGCTACATAGGAAAATATACACTTGGGTGAAGTAGCTTTTTTTGCTGAGAAGAAACTGGGAAACTGGAAATGAAAGGACACAGGTTCCTAAACCTCTAGCAGGGACTGTCTACAATCTACAACTCCCCAACATAGACAGACATGTAATCACAAAGCACTGATAAAAGCACAATTTAAAATGTAGGGAACTATTGCTTTAAGAAGCATAATTTTTCTTCTAGAACTATCTTTGGCTTACACCAAATAGAAGTATAAGGACACCAGGTTCTGCCTCTCACAAACTCCTCTGTGAGTTGCATTTTGGGAACATAGTCTCTGTTTTTAATCAAAGAATGCTTCAAGAAACAGTCTTTAAAATCTGAAAAAAAATGATTTTAAATTTAAATATTATTTAATATTTTAGATACAGACATTCACATAAGAAAGGTTTTAGATATAAGAACTAGGAAAATGCTTTCTATTCTTTAGCACATTTCTTTCCTTCCTGGGAACATAATTCCAGGTTCTCCTTTCTGTCTTGGCAAGCACCATATGCCAGAAAATCTGAGAGTTCATACAGCACCTGGGTAGCACATCACAGCTTATTTGGTTGTATTGTATTTTCCTCCCCCTTGCTCTTACCTTCTATTTTTGATGTATTGTTATTAATTCATAGCTCTCATTTCTTTATTTTCATATATGCCTAGCCATTTTTTTTATTAGATGTGTACAATAAGTTCCTTATCAGGGCAAAACAGAACAAATCTAGTGTTATTTCAGTAATCCCTGTTTCTCTAGTTACTCTGAATTAGTTTTAAAAAAACCTTTACTTATGATTTAAATTTTTTAATAATGTCATTTCATGTGATTAACTATTATTTTACTAGTGCATGACAAAACAGTAGATTTTAATTCATACCATGATGTTCTGTGTATACTGTTTCATGGAGAAGGGACTCAATTTGTTCTTGTACTTCATCTTCAATATTCTGAGGTTCTAAAATAATTACAAAAGTAATTAAGTAGAAAAACTCTAGACATTAATGTAGAACATGAGCTATAGCATCCATGTATGTATACATATTCAAATGAATATATTTGGCTAATCAACACTGCACCCTTGTCATATCATTTTACCATTTTTTTCTATGTCCGTAAACGTAGCATATATTTTAAATTGGTTTATATAAATGGTAACTATAAATGATGAGTTCTCATTAGATTTAAGATATAAATGATGAGTTCTCCATTAAGACTTAATAAAATGGAAACTAGGGCCCTCCCGGGTGGCGCAGCAGGTTAAAACGCAGCACTGCAAGAGAGCCACTGCCGCTTCAGTGCAAGTTTGACCCCCAGCACCTGAGGTGACCCACATGGTGTGGCAGACCTCTCCTGACCCTCCCGCTGCTCCTCTCAGCAGTATACTTATCTGCCTGTTCTGCTCCCCACTCTGTCTCTGGTGAATTCTCTCACAGCCCCTGCAACTCTATCTGTGCCCCAGTTCTATATGCACAAATAAATAAATCTCTTTAAAAAAAAAAAAGTAAACTAAATCAGACTGAGATTTGATTTTAGAAAAAAAGTCTCTATGGCAAAATTACTTCAGTATGAAAGTCATACTAGAGACAGAATAAAGAGGGAAGGGCTACACTTTCAGAAAGGAAGTAGTAGCCAACAATAAAGTAATAAGGGCAACACTTTCAGGAAGGAAGTACTGATAACTAAAGATTAAAATGTGATAGTCGTGGTCAGTGCACACTAATGTATAAAGTCAACCACTGCCATCCTTTCTCCACAGTCAGGAGAAAGGATCCTCTAATTATAGGAGGGTCAGGATGATTGGGATTGGCTGGGTACTTTCGCAAGTTGTCAGGAAGCATGAACAGAAGACCTTACGTGCTAACTGACAATTCTTTCATCTCTGAAGAACCCCATCTTACTATCAGCTCCACAGATTCATAAAAAGTAAATTAGAAAAGTGAACAACATTAGTAAAGACATTCTGACAACACACTGGGCTTTTAACAACATCATAAAACAAGCAGTTACAATTATATTGCCAGTCATAAGTTTTCTAACAAACATCATCTATGTTCATGTCGTGAATTTTGTGATATGAAACAATGCCAAAGATATCTGTTATATTGACATACTAATCTTCAATGACAAAAACAGAATAGGTTAATTGGAACTTCAGGTAGAAAAATAGCTTAAGAAGCTATCGTGTTAATGCTGTAATTTCAAAAGCACAAAAAGTACCTCTTATTTTTAGATGTTTATATTTCACAAACCATTCATATATATATATATATATATATATATATATATATATTCTATGACCATAGACATACATATATATATATTCTAGTGTAATTATAGAGGGGCCTATCAATCTTTACTCCTCCCTCAAATTTTCTCACAATGTGTGTGTTTTACATCTGCTCACAACACCTTACAGACTGCAATGTGAATTAGAGTGGGAGTGGTCCAGTCTGCTCTTTCCTTAGTCCTTTGGTAGCTTCCTTTGTCTAAGCCCCTCAGGAGATCTTTCCTTCACATGCCTCTTAGAATCATCTGCTATCAGCACTGGCTTTGAGTTTAGTGACTGCACAATGTCAACTTCTTCTATGATTTTGTGATGTCCACTTTCCCCAGGAGCAGGCTGGTAAGGCCAAAATCTAGATTGTAACGACTTAAGGACTGAAATAAGACATGACTAGTCTTGCAAAAGGCTGGCTAGTGTAGCAAGGTGGGAGGCTGGAGGTATTTTGTTCTTTAATAGAAAGTATGTGCCTATGTTCATAGAATAGATAGGTAGTTAGAAAAACTGAAGACTTAGATAAAAGAAAAGCTTGGAAAGAAACATTTAAATTAAAATAAATATTGCCAAGAAGTTATAAAAGGTTATGAGTTGATAATATGCTGATGGATCAGGAGAATAAGTCATTAGTAATATGTCAAGTATATTAATAAAAACTTTGAAAGAGTGGAAGCAAATGAGGCATTTAAGAGTAGGGACTAGCTTTGAAAAACAAATTTTTTAAGTTTAGCATGAAGTAAAATTTGAGGTGCCAGGTCAAATCACATTTGAATAATATAGGCTTAGCAACAATCTTTCTTGTAGAATCATAGTATGAGTATAGCAACCCTATAGGAATAGCAGGGAGAAATTGTCCTGGGATTATAACTTGAACAAATTTTTAAAATTAGTGCAACATACTGATCTTGAAAAAAAGGAGAGCAAATAATATTCATAAGGACACAATGATAAAATAAGCTAAAGTACCATTTGGAACCAGGACTTAGTGGATAGTAAAAATGTGGTGTCATACCTAGGACTTTCACTAGGTGGCAAAATGAAACCAAATTTCTGAAGACTACTGAGTAAATGAAAAGTTGCAGAAATTCAATAGCACATTGTAGTGAAAATCATAGTATAAATTTGAAATGACAGTACTGGGTTAAAAATTACCCATTTATTAAGAGACTTTAAGACTTTCATCCTGTGAGTCACAGAGACCTTAGGTAACCAGGATTCTATATTCTATTTCAGGTAGAAGTCTTCAGGACAGATCACATGGAGGCCTAGGAAGATTTCTGTTGTAGAAAGGACAGTCTCTTATTAAAAAGACAGGGAATCAGTAGACCTATTCTATATAAAATAATGTGAATGCAATGGCAATCCCAGTGTACAATGTGTTTCTTATTTCACTTTCATTGTAAAATGGCACAGAAATGCTGGAACTGGAATCAAGAAACTGCATTTAGTTCCTAATGTTCCCAACTGTGTGATCACAGCAAGGGACAGCCATCTGTCTTTGATTTATGGTCTCAAAAATTAAATTACTCTGTGTGAAATTTTAAATTTAAATTTACTCTAAAATTTCGGAAGAGCAAAAGAGAAAGTATTTCACTTTTTTGTAAATACTGTGAAGCTAATTGTAAGAAAATATGGTTCTGCAAACTGCAAAAGGGGTTGCTGGCAGGCGGCGGTGCGTCCGGTCCGTGCTGGGGGGAGGCTTACCTCTCTTCTCGGGAGCGCGCTCCTCCAACCACGGCTTTGGCTCAGCCTCCTCTGCTGGGACTTTGGGCTCAGAAGCAGCTCTTTCTTTTAGGCCTGCATTTTTTATTCACAAAGTTAACTTTTTTTCTTTGCTTTTTGATATATTAAACCAGGAAAAATAAATGCTTAGACATTTCAACAGTGCACATAATTCAAAATTTCCGAAACTATATACTCTGTGAAAACATTGATAAACACTAAATGTTATAGGACTTCATGTGGGCCTTTAATATTTCTTTACCTAAGTTAACCTTTCATTTAAAAATCAAAACAGAAACATGTTCATAAATCTCTAAAATAAAGTCATATCTGAGCTTGTCAAAGAAAGTTCATTACAACTTCATGCTTCTTGCATTCATAAATGACTGACTCCTAAGACTTGAACTCTGAACTGAGTAATAAGATATACTTTAAGTTTCTATTGTTATTTGCGTATACGTCATATTGTATTTATTTTTCTTGGAATTATAGTTTTAAATGAGTGTAAGTCACACATGACTTGTTTATGATCTTTTAAAAACATCATATTATCCATAAGCACTAAATGATAAAGGAAAAAAGTTTATGTTGTAGGGAAACAAAGACCTCTTGATAAATACACAGGAAAGTGTATTTAAAAGTCAAAACTAAAAATCTATTCTACTAAGTAACTAGATTTCATATATAAAGCATTAAAATATATCCTGAATTTAATACAACTATTTAGAAAGCTCTATCTATTTCAAGAGCTGCCAATTCCATTTACCAAATCCTGGGCTCTTCATTATCCTATTAAGAATCCTGTACTTAATAGTAACAGGATTACTGTTATTAATAGACACAATCCAAGAGTTGTCACTAAAAGATGTGATGTCAATAGCTTAGAGTAAAAAGGTCAAGCTTTTAGAGTGTTTTTCTAATCATCAGCACATCATACAAGTCTTATATTTTATGATTATAGTTTGGGAAATTCTCACTGCAATGTCTTATACCTTCTTCATGATTCTGTGTATCTTTCCTTATCACACCCTTCTGTAACACTTTCTCTTTCCTTGACTAAAAACATGCCCACCGCTTCTTCTTACAACTTAAAAGGCACTGAGACAGAGAAACACAGAACCCCACCTCATTTTATTCCCACCAGTTACTTATTTCTGAGACTACTTACGAAAGTAACCTACCATTAAGAAAACAAATACCAACACATACAGAGCAACTTCTAACTATAAAATAGATTCCAAGAGGAACATATATACAAACACCCACAAATCCCTGCTCAATTTTTAGGAGTGAATAGAGGTCTATTAAAACATAACACATCTTAAATTTCAAATTCAGAGCTAAAATCTCCCACATTCAGCCCTCCCTGGTGGCACAATGGGCCAAGACACAGCACTGCAAGCAAACTGCAGCATGGCGCAGCAGACCTCTCCTGTCTTGCCCGCTGCTCCCCTCAGAAGTGTACTTCGTTGATCTACCTGTTCTGCTCCCTGATCTGTCTCTGGTGAATCCTCTCACCACCCCTGCACCTCTTGCCTACACCTCAGTTCGGTATGCATAAATAAATCTTTAACCAAAAAAAAAAATAATCTCCCACATCCTACGGAACCCATTCCTACATCCTAAGACTTGAACTCTGAACTGAGTAATAAGATATATTTTAAATTTCTATTGTTATTTGCATATACGTCATATTAAAGTTGTAATATTGTAATATTAAAGTTGCCAGTATGCTAAAGGAATAGGATAGACCCTGAGACTCGTTAGAACCAGCAATTTATCTTTGTACTGCCAGCACTTCAGAAAACCTGGCACACAGCAGTTACTATGGTCTGAACATACCCAATGGTGTGGCCACTGTCTTCAAAAGACTATATACTCTCGGTAACACCAAGACTTCTTGGATGGGCTGCAGTAGCTTTGGGCTATCACGTGGCAAAGTGATCTTACATCAGTTTCACCACTACCATTTTCCAAAGAAATTCCTATTTGTCATTACAATACCATAGAACTAGTTTGCCAGGGGTATTCCTGGTTTATGTCTGTTATCTTGTATAATTATTTCATCCTCAAAAAGTATCTCAATTTGGGAAAGAAAATACAGGGTGACTCTTCACTAACCCTACATGTAGCAGGTGCTCTGCGTTCCACAGGTTCAACTGAGCACCATATTTTCCCACCATACGGAAAATAGTTAAATTGTAAGTAAACCCCATTCATAATGTGTTTACATGCAGTTTAACTATTTACTGTATGGTGGGAAACTTTCATTTGGGGCGGGGAGGAGGAAATAAAAAACTTCTGATGCAAAAAGTGTTCAAATACTAATATTGATAGCATGCCAAAATTTATATATGTACAATATTCCTAATTATCAGTTTTCTTAAACAAGCTGGGAGTTATGTCTCAAAAATGTGAAAACAAGAGAAAGCAAAAGTATATGATGAGAAAATTCTAAGCACTGTCTCTTCTGTCCAAAGTAAGATTTGAATTGAGTTTATTGATAACTGATCACAAGTATTTTCCATGATAAAAACAGTGCAAATCTAAAACAATATTGTAAACATCAAACAATCTGAGGAAAGTTCTTAGCCCTCTATAAACTTTTAAAACTTTAACAGACCAGATGATGTCCAGAAGCAAAAGGCCCGCCTTTTGCTATGCTTCTTTCTCAGGCATCAGCAAATCTTTCCTAGATGTTCCCAAGTAGTGTTCCCTTTCAGTTTTAATAGCAAAACTGGAAACTACTTTCATTCCTAAATTGGCAAGAGGTACAGGATGACCACAATTGTCTGAGAGTAATTATCTAGGGTTGAATGAAAATTGCTAGTAAATCACAACAGATCCTATATTATTTGAAAAATAAATTAGTACTCTTAAAACATACTTTAAGATATTCAAGCGCGTCAGAATAAATTAGAATGTTGTCTTAAAATCCACATTTTAATTCAATAAACTAAATTTTCCCCTTCAATTTGAAGTAAATTTGGAAGACAACTTAAGTTAAATGAGCATTTAAAATCAATCTTGCATGGCAAATCTGATCATCTCACACAACTGTCCTAGCCCAACATAAGTTTACTTTATTCACTGCTACCACCTATACCAGATTTCAAGGGAAGGAATAAATGCATTTTCTTCCCATAAATGTCCTAGTTTCAAACATACTGAGCAGCACATTGCTTTTATTCATTCAACAAGTATTTACATCTTGTAATGTAAGAGTTTTCTACAGACAATGAGCACATAAAATGCTTACCTCCCATAAGGGAAGAATTGTGAAGAAACATGAACTATTTAGTGTGTCAAATGAGGAAAGATGGTCTGGGGAAGGTGTGGGACAGGGATGAAAATGAAAGGGCTGAGGAGATATGCACACACTCCCAAGGCAATCAGGGGTGTGGCCAGGCAAGGTACCCTGGGGAAGAGTGCTCTGGGGGAGGCTTTGGAGTAGCAAGTTCAGAATTCCTCAGCTGAGAGGGTACTGAAAGGGAAGAAGAGCCAGGTGCCAACACAGCTGGACAAAGTCAACAATGAGGGTATGAGTGTCAGAGAGGCCCTGGAGAAAAGATCACAGAGGCCTTTACTCTGAGTGAAAATAAAAGATTGACTTTTCAGAGTGATTATATACAAAATGCTTCCTCAAAAAATTTTGAGAAAGGGAGAATTATAAATCACATTTGCTTTGTAGGATCTCATATACCTAGCCAATAAAGGTGAGGAAATGTTTTAATTAGCCAAATGATTTCTTATTCAATGAAAATTGTATCTTACCTATGCACGTTCCTCCAGCTGCTGTTATTCATGTAGATGTGCAAGGATTGCTACTGCTTCTAATACAAATCACCTAACAGTTAACTCAGTGTGCCCCAAGAATAACCCTAACAGGTGTGTGGCCTTGAGCATTCTGCAAATCAATTCACCAGAAAGCACCATATACTAAGTGAACATGCCTCATATTGTCCCTGGGTTGTGTGTACACCTTAGCAGTATCCCAATAAGCTCCATGGCTTATCAAAATTCCGAGACTGCCAGTAAGTTCTGAGTGAGCTCCTCCATGATGTATGAGAGCCATTCCACACTCAAAGTGTCATCAAATGACTAAAGATGGACAGACTTGGGGGAAAACAAGACATAAATCTTCAAAGACTGATACACTGCCCAAACAGTTCCTAAATCCGGTTTCAAGACCAGTGAAGGGACTCCACAAAGACTGAAATAGAGTGGATTTACTATAATCTTGCAACATGAAATGGTTGCAGAGGTGCAGGTACTTGAATGGAGGCTGCCTTGAATTCCATTCAAATCTCACCTCAAGCTCATTACCTCTGCTACAACTTTTGTTTTTCAAAAGCATGAAAAGGGGATAAACTGTGCCTCCTTAAAAGTGTTCTGAAAATTAAGTGCCCAAAAGTAGATGACTGGATTAAAAAGATGTGGTACATATACACAATGGAATATAACTCAGCAATCAAAAAAGATAAACTCATGCTTTTTGCAGCAACATGGATGCAGCTGGAAGGGATCGTGGTTAGTGAAATAAGCCAGAAAGAAAGAAAAAAAAAAATACTGGGTGGTTTCACTCATAGCAGGAGCATAAAGGCCGAGGGAGGGAAATAATGAACAACTATATACCAGAGACAGTTCACAGGGGTGGAATGGGAAATAGGGTCAAAAAAGGGAGGGGGGGGAAGAAGTGCACTAGACTATGGTGATGGCACATGGGTGATATGGTGATGGGAAGCCCATAGGGATTACAACTGAGATGGAAAAATGCACAAAATGACATAAAAATAAACTATTACATTATTTTTAAAAAAGTGTTTTGAGAATTAAAGTAGGTAACTGAAACCCAGCAGATACATGTTTTTTTCACCATTTTTTGGCCTTTAGTTCTAAACAAATTTTATCCTGTTCTTTGCACACATATACACAACATGAACACAGCTCCAGGTGACTTCCAAGGTGGTTAAAACATACTGAAAAAACCATCTGAGTTTTTATTTTCCTTTTAAAATTTTTCAGTATATACAGATCTATAATATTTTTAAGTGATTTGTATTTTCTCATTTTCACCTTTCAATGAACATATTGAATACCAACTATTCAATACCAACTATTGCCAACTACTATGACAGGTATTGGATTTAAGTCATAGTCTGGTAACAAAGCAAAGTTCAGGAACAAAACAAAGTGATGAGCATGAAAAATGTCAGGCACGACAGAGTGCAGAGGTGACTCCTGGACCCTGCAGGAGAGAGGTGCTGATCACACACAACGGAAGTGTTCTCAGCACAGATAAGAGTCGGCAGTAGTAGCCACCAAGACTAAGATCTGTTGAGTGAATCAATAAATATGAAATAGGGATGATATAACTAACCATTAAATTATATATTTAGATAATGACCGAAGTTAGCACAAAAGTTTTAACTCTATGCCTTTTAGCCTCTGAGGAAAAAGAAGTAATGCTTGATGCAAAGATGAAGTACATGAGTGACAGGTCTCTACTGTACACATACTAATAGAATGGTTAATACATAAAGTGAAATGAGAACAAAGGAAAATAGATGACCTTCTGTGTTATGGAATTTACAAAATTTAACCCTTGGTGGAAATTTATTTCTTTAAAAATGATATCCAAGCCAGTAATATAGTTCATAGAGTTTTTACCTTTAGCCAATTGAAAGAGGTAGAATGAGACTGAAGATTGTTACTGAGGAATTTTTCAGACTACCCCAAGATTTTCATGAAAATAGACCCTCCAGTCTGTTACATAATGATGACATTTCATTTTCCTAACAACAAAAAATTACCCAGGGAAAACTGAGTTTAACATGTAAACTTAATTTACATGGCAATAGACTCACCCTTCATCAATTGTCTAGTTATTGCTGACAAAGGCTTGAGGAGGGATCTCTAGTCCCCCTGGCTTCGAACGCTACCAATGACCCTTTTGGATCATCCCATTCAACTCCTTGCATTTGGACATTGGCAGGAGGAAAGGGGAGAAAACACAAAATGCCTGCATCTGGTGAGATGAATTGCAGTGTGTAAAATTTACTGTGCAGCCTGCCCTGAACCTAACTGCCTTCACATAAAAAGCACACTAATTCTCTGGAGAGCAACTTATTTTCCTTCACCCCACAGTTGAGGGGTGGCTCACATACCCCGGCTTTTGCCAATCACAGCTCTGGTACTCTGCTTCCCCACTCCATAGGATCAGGGTGGAACATGAGCATATGTGCCTTAATGTAAGCAGGTTGCCTGAGAAGGAAACCAACAGAGACATTTCAGAGGTGGAGAGGTCCAGGCAGGAAGAACCCAGGTCCAACACAACCAGAAGGGCAAAGAAAATAGCCACGTAAGACCTTAGAGTCATGTGACCTAACCAATGTTTTTACATCACATAAATAACTTGAATGGATTCACACATATAAGTAAAAGAATTCTGGAGACTACTTAGAAGTAAAACTAATTATGTTCCTAATATTCTGAGGAATAATAAATGCCTGTTTCCAGAGAAACAGATACACAGAAACTTAGAAAGAATTGGACATTGGGGATTAAACATGGTTTTGTGACCCAACATAGGAAATCTCTGAAGATCATATAATGGCTTCTATGGAAAAAACATGTTCTGTGTATAAAGCAAACGTAAGTTTTTCACATTTCGGTTGGGTGTTAAAATTTTCAATTATACCATATATTTTTAAGTATACTTAAGTAGTTCATTATTTCCTAATTTTTTTCTCATCTTTACATTTCATTATCTCGTGGTTTCATGTTGTAGCTATACTTTAAATAACTAAACATTGTTATAGACTTGCATTCCTGTACCATTTATAATTACTTTTATTTGCCTTCTCAGTAGAATGAATTAGAATCCAGCATACCCATTTCAAAATATGCATTAGTTTCAAAAGACAAAGGAGTAATATATTTGTTTTACAATCTGCTGACAAAAAGAGGAGGGACTATAGCCCCAGGGCATCCAACTTTTAGAAATGGCTGGAACACCTTGGTGGAATTATGAGGATTGTTCTACCAAAGGAAACACCAGCGCCAACAATGTGGCAGCTGTTTATGTATATGAGTAGCAAGCTAGTTTTCACGAGCACCTAGAGGGAAAGGTAAAATCTTCAATTTACAAATGAGGAAAGCGAGCATATTTTCCAGGAGCATTTTATGTAGTAAAACAGTCCAAATAATCAACAGTCCAATAATTTTATGTAGTAAAACAGTCCAATAATCAAGGAGGAGGTATCGTAGAGCACACAGAGAAAAGAACCAAACTATGAGACACACATAAGCGCCCAGACCAATCTCAGGGGAAAGAAAATTATTTAACTTAAACATTTAAAATTAAACAGCACACCTGTTTACTATCTGTTTGTGTTTTTTAATGTAAGCATATACAGGGACTCCTTTATCCAAGCACTCATGAACACCTCTGAAGTCACAAAGTTGCATGACTAAGCAGGCCATGACCCCATAAAATATGTCTATGAACCAATTATTTATAAAATTAATCCTCCTGGATTGGCACGAGTGTATCTGCTGACTGATTTATATGAGTTTCTTTAACACTTTTTAGTATTCTTTAAAATTGTGTGTGAAACATTGGCAGGGGCATCTATACAGCAATGCGAATCACCCATGAAACAAAACTAGAGATATTGATGAAAAAAAATTTTAGAGCCACCAACATGTAAGTCACATGCGACAACAAGTGGAGAGTGAAAACAGTGATGATAAAGTTCTCCAAAAGAAAGTAAACTGATATTAAAAAGGATTCTTGGGAAAAAATCAATAGGCTTGCAAATATTTTCGTAAAATTGACCATCTTGTGCTACACACATGATAGATTAGTCATAGAAAGAAAGCTTGAAGAAAAACAGTGCCAATAATGACAATTTTTAGAATTCTAAGCATTATCTCACAATGCAATTGGGGAAAAAATATGTTAGTGATATAGCAAAATAAACTTACACTCAGCTTTTAACATTCACTTTTCAGGAATGTGGACCACCCAAATAATTTTTATTACAAATTTTTGAACGAGGTTTGACTTATTTAAAAAGGGTGACCTTTCTGGTTTTAATTATTCTTAGTTATCAATAAGAATCATTACTTCTGGTTTTTTCTTTTTTTTTCCCAACCAAAAATGTATCATAGGGGCCCTCCCTGATGGCACAAGGGGTTACAGCATGGCATTATGAAGCTATTGGCAGCTACTGCAGCACCAGTTCAATCCCCTGGCAGGGCGCTGACCCACATGGTACAGCAGACCCCTCCTGTCTCACCCAATGCACCCCTCAGCAGGGTATTTTGGTCAGTCTGCCTCTTCTGTTTCCCACTCTGTCTCTGTTGTCTCACCTCTTCCCTCCCCCACATACCTCTGGTCTGTGCTCCAGTTCTTATAAGCATAAATATATATTTTTAAAAATGGATCATAACTTTTCCAACAACCCAGTAATTCACTTCTTCAGCTGATATCAGGGAATAAAACCCTAGTGATAGATAACACTTGAATGTTTCCAAATGCTTTACTAAATAACAACAAATGCTTATACACTTATGTTGGTTATTCTAAAACAGTTTCTACTCACTTTCTCAAAAGGAAGCATTTATACCTTACAGCCAACTGTCCTTCACAAACCAAGGTAAAAACTAGAATGCCTTCAGTAAATATAATTGTAATTTTATGCCATTCTGCAAGAGAGGGGGAAAATCACCTGCAGAGAAATTTGCACTTATATTTTGGTTCATAAATTTTGAAAAATCAATCCACTTATCTTAGCAAGAAAATATGACTTCAGGATATATGTTTTAAATCTTATTAACTTTTATGTGTGTGGTATGTATCTGATTTGTGTCTTGTTCTGTCCAGTTCTTTGAGAGGGCCTCCTTCCTTCAGTAAATATGTCACATTTTGCATGAGATCCACTGTAACCCCAACCAAAGCTTGATACACAGGAACCAGATCGGTAAGACCTAACCCACCCGAAATTACAGGAAAGTTCATAGTCACCAAATTGAACAAGGTCTGTGGAAATCCCCCCAGAAACCCAATTCTTTTCAAGCAGGTTGCTAAGCCAGAAAGATGTGTTGGTGTGGGGGCGCTAAGGGCCACCTTTTCCATCAGTGGCTGTACCTTCTTTGCAAGAGTCAAGTAGAAAGCAGCAGAGCCAAGATTTAAGACGAGAGCTAGGAGAAGCAGTGCCGTGATTCCACATCTGTAATTGTAATCTATTCACCTTAAGCTGTGTTCCTGTATCAATCAATCAAAATAAGCCATAAATTATCCGTCACTTATAAAAAAAATCCTCCCTAGTCAAGATAAAAAATCCCAAGTTAACAATGCACAACTTCTTGGGTCTCAGTTTTTAAGTAAAATAATAGGCTAGAATTAGAGATATTAGATAGTCCCTAAGATTTCCAACTATTACATTAGTTGGAATTTTTGTCAACTCAATATCTATTTGATCACAAACAGTAAAGGATGCTAGTGAATAAGTAAAACATGCCTTTAAGAAATATCTGCACTTAATGTTTATTCATTTCTGATTGGAAATATCTTTAATTAGGCCAAAATCTGTTTTTAAACACTTCTGCTGAGAGCTGAGAAACTATATTAAAAAGGTAAAACCTTTCAGGTAGCACCTTTGATGATGTTATAAATCAGCTTGCTCTTCTCAAACTCAGTAAAAGCTCTGCTCAGCAGTCACAGAGATTTAAAATTTTATGCACAGAATAGTACACTTTGTAGAAATGTATCACTTACTGAAATTTCATTTCATCAAATATTTTCTGATGAATTAAATTTTTATCTCTAATGAGATCTCAATTTGCAGCAATTATGACATAACCAAATATGAGAAATGTGTACCATTAAATCAGAATAACTGAAAACTATGCAATACAAAATGAAAGTAGGTACTAGCTTTAATAAAATCTTTTTAAAACTTCTCAGTCCATAAATAGGTCATAAATAAAAGTGCTCTAAAATTGTTATAAATAAAATTATTTTATTCATGACTATTACCCAGAGTCCTCAGAACATTATGTCTGGCGCACAGTAATGTTATGTACTTACTGGATGAGAGAAATGGGGAAGACGTGGTAAGTAAGGGAAAGGGGTGAGGAGGCATGGAGAGTGAGGAAGCAAGGACAGAAGATAGTAAAAGGCTGTGAGGAGAAATTCCAGAAGAGATGAGAAGAGACTGAGGAAGTGGTCCGGCCCTGACATGAGGAGCAGGAAGTAGACCAAGGAGGGGTGAATGCAGGCAAAAGTGGGGTCAGGGAAAAGAGGAGGGGACAACAGATGCTGGGGAAGGGGAGAGGATGTGGTGACAAAATAGGGCAGGTTAAACAAGGTTGCTAAAAAAGAGGTGGAAAGAAAACCAAGAGCCAACAGAGGTCCTTAGTATCATACCTGAAAGTTGTGGGTCACGGTGCATATAAATAATATTTAAAATCTTCAGATTCTTATTTAACTCTACTGAAAATATATTAAGAATTAATGTAATATTCATTACAATTTGTATTATACAAATACATGTATCTGGGTACACAATCAACAAATTAATATAGAAATTATTTCATCACATTTTCATTACATTTTTTAAAGCCTCGTTTTTAACTTAGAAACAAGAGACAATTTAAGTTTCAAGTGATATCCTTGCTGAGCACCAATAAATACATGAGTGGCTAATTGACACATCTTCTCCAACCAGAGCAATACTTAATTTTCGATGTCCTTTTGTAGTAAGTCATGATAAAGAATATTACCATTTCCTGGGATGATGATGCTAAAAGCTTTAGTTCTTTCTCTTCTGGTTATTTCCCTTTGCTAAGTGTGGTTGTTTCGTAGAACTTCTACTTTCCTTTCTGTCATCGTTGTCTCCAGATGCCATTTTACTAGAAATGTCCTTAATATTTGTTGGCTTTTTCCTATTTTCCTTGGTTTTAGTGCCTTTATCCAGACCCACTTTTTCCTTCTCTTTGTCCTTTTTACCCTTAGGGGATTCTTTCTTGGATATATCTGAATCAACAATTCTCTTATCCTTCCGGTTATCGTCTTTTTCTCTCTTCCCCTTTTTCCTCTCTTCATTCTTACTTTCCTTCCTTGCATCAGGTTTCTCTTTTACTTTCTTGAGCTCTTCTTTATTGAGTTCTTTAACTTTCAGGTTTTTCAAAGGAAAAGACGTTTATTGAAAGCATCTTTTAATTCACTGAACAGAAACCTAGTACAAACTATAATCTATTCATAATATCCCCACACAGAAGATAGGCTCATTCAAAAAGTAAGTTAGGCTGCTTAGTTTTTAATTGACTAAAGATATATTAAGCATCATATTTAAAAAAATGTTAGAAACAAACCTGCCATCACATTTTTCCATTTTGAAATAATGTATCATTTGTCTTAAAATAAGGTTAACATGCAATATTATTAAAATTAATTTATCCTCATAAAGGCAATATATTACATAAAATGTTAAATAGCAACACACATTTCACAACACTAATTACCCAATTAAAGCATCAACTGGCAACACTGAAACACTTTCTCATAAAGAAGGAAACAATCTCCATATGAATAAGAAATTCTCAACTCATTTAAAATGACAAGCAGATTTTCTTTCTATTAGTATTCAACATTATTAAATCAGCAGTCCTCGATGTTTCCCTGGTAATTTATGTAGAGTCACTCAAGCCAAAACATGTTGTCCACGCTCACAGGGGGGAAAAGAAGCAATTGAATGAAAAGTACGTGTAGTTCTAAAATCTAGTATGAGACCTTGTTTCAGTGACTTTACATAGAATTTAACAGAGCTGCTAGCAAAAGCTCTGAATCTTATCTTCTTGCTCTCTCATTAGGAAATCACAAGAGAAGCAACATGGCTACTGTATAATATAGCATTTAGCCAAACACAGATAATGAAATATTTCTCTAATATAATGAAATGTATAAGATGTTTTGCCCACAGAAATCATATAGCATAAAATATTATTTATTGCTTTCTGAGAATCTTGTTAAAATATAAAACTACAGAACAGTATTTATAAAAACACAATTGTCCGGGTACTCCTTCTACTTCAGTGTTGGTTGTAGAGTTAGCCGATGACAATGCTGCCAAGAGCAGAATGCTTGTGTGTGTGATGCTCAGGCCTCAAATTTACTAAATTTTAAACTCAAGGTCAGGAAATAAAACTGTACTGGTCATTTATTTCATACATGTAAAATTAAAAATAGTAAAAATTCTGTTTTCTTACCATGAGATACAAAGTTAAAACATCAAAATATTCCAATCTTAAAATACAAACCATAAAACCTTGCAAGCCACAATACAGTCTCAATCTGTTAATGTTTTGCCAAAATACAAATAAACAACTACATTATGATGTGCCAAGCATTTAAACAAAAGACTATTCCAAGTTTACAAACAAAACATGCACTTCCCTCATGCACCTCTTCCCTAAAGGACATAAACATTTATATGTGAACAAAAACAACTGTAGGGATAGAAAATACAGTGTAGTAATAAGCCAAAAGTCTACTGTTTGAATGACATGTATAGTAAAAGAATTCACTATACTTATTTAATATTAAATCAATTGGATATTAAATTATTTAGTATTAATTTTTGCTACTTATAAGAGAATATAAATTTAAAGAATACAAAATTCCCTTAACAAATATTATTTAATAGTGAACATTGCTATTGTTAAAGAATTAAAATATTAAACAGCAAATTCTATACCAACATAACATAGTATTAAAGATTATAAAGTAAGTTATTTTATTGAAAAATACAAGTATGATGACAGGAGATTTATTGTGCTTTAAGTCAATATCATCTGAGATTTAGAAAAATAAAATCTATTACTAATGAATTAATCTTCTTTTTCCAACAGTAATATCAAAATTCAAACTGAAAAGGGTTTCAGGTAGAACATAGGATATAATTTTGCAAATTTACACATTATGATATTGTTATTATATATATGTTTTTAAAGATGTCAAGGTTTTGATGGCATGGAAATTATCTACAACTGTTGGCTTGAGGCAATTTTTTTAAATGAAATCTTGATAAAATTACTTATGACCAAAGGTACACCCCAAGCCAAAAAAGCAATGTTTAGCATTAGTAGCTGCATTTACAACATATCTAGAAAATATCATGCATTTTGAAGTGTTAAATTTGGTTTGCTCTAGGCTAATTTGAAAAAATGAAAAATACCTTTAGCCTTAGTTTTTCTCTTGGCTACCCCACCAGGTCCTTCTGTTGGTATTTACAAGGTAAAAAAATAGGGTATAAAAAGAAAATATCAAGGGAATTAAAAATAGGTTTAAAATGGCTACAAATCAATGCCTCTATTAAACAAAGTTTCTTAAATTCACATTTTATAAAATATACTCTTTCACCATATGAATATTAGGTGTATGTCACTTTAAAACTGTATTTTCACTACTGGTGACAGAAAAATGCATCATCTACATTTTATGATTCAGTTAACTATACAACTGCCTTATACCTGAGAGAATCATTGGTTTAAAAATATCTTATTACCACAGGGAATGTGTTTGTTTTCAGCAGTCAGATGATTTTGCCCAGCACAGGTGATGAGTTCTACAAATCATGGGTAAAAGGACCCAGGGACTCTACTTTCCTATTCAACCATCATTGCATTAAAAACGGAGAACATATTTTAGTAGAATTTTAGTCCTTACCATTGAACAACCACTGCTTCCCACCCCTCCACTCCCACCACTAGTTTTGCAGTTTATTTTTTTTAAGTACATAATTATGTATACATATATAACTTTCCTTTATTCTTCACCTAAGAACTTTTCAATGTCTTTGTATTTCCCCTCTTAGCAAATGAAGTTCTAATAATGGGTTTATTTTTAACCCTCTACATAAGTGTCAATATACCATATATTTCTCAGTATACTTTCATGCCAACCAGGCTGGATTTTTCATCCTAGCAAATGATCTTTCCAATTCCATTCTAGTCACATAAGTACTATTTTACAGTCACCTTTGAGCAAACATTCGAAAGTGGCATTCTAAGTTGCCATTTCATTTCCCAGGCAAGTTAGAGAGTGTGACGTCTGGTGACTACTACTCATTGCCCAGAGGGGCAGCACCCTAGACAATCTGTCACTCAGTAACTATTGTCTAAGGTATGGTCACAGGAAAGCATCCAAGCCCTATTCCACTCTTCCTACTGTAGAATCTACCCTACATATGTCTCAAAACCATGACCATATCATGAGATGTTTTTAAACCTTGTCATATTGTTTAAATCATCAATCCATTCCTAAATTCCTTCCCTTTTCCTTATTTCCATCAAATGACAGTCCATTTAAATTAAAGACTTTATTTTGGCTAAAATATTACCATTATTGTGAAAAAAAAAATAGTATCTCTTAAAAACTGAACACATTAAAAATGTGAATAAACTGTTCCTTGTCTGTCTAATTACTTGAATACATGTTGAAACACAACTAGTATGTGTCTGACAATTATTTTTCACAAATTTTCTTTCTCTAAATGCTATCAAAAACAGCTTTGCCAACTTGTAATACTGAATGACTTTGAACCATGCCCTACCAAAGTTTATTTAAGAATAAAACACCAAACTTAATTTTACAGCACCAACTTTTAAACATATGGCTGCTTTCTAACCTGTAAGAATATTAGTATAAAGCATAAAAAGGAACTTTCAGTGATAAAAATTTACCCCTTTTAACTCTAGCATATTCTAGCAATGCAGGCCCAGATCTTCCCACTCCATACAGCCACTATTTGGATATAGCCAAAAGCACTACACTGATGAAAATACTTGAGTTAACCTATGTCTCTAATGTCAAATTTTTACAACATCAGATTACTGAAACAGGAAAAACAGAACTTTCTTTAAAACTTGCGAAATTTGGACTCCCTTTTGGCCTAAGGATTAAGTCTAGTACTGTCATCCTGCCAGCCTGAGTTCTATCCCAAGCCAGGGGGGTGACCCACAGGGAGCAGCAGACTTCTCCTGTCTCGCCCACTGCTCCCCTCAGCAATGTGTTTCAGTGAATTTGCCTGTTCTGCTCCCCACTCCGTCTCTGGTAAATCTCTTCATGCCACCTCTCCCATGCGCACCTCTGGCCCGCACCCAGTTCTTGTATGCAGAGATAAGTAAAAATAATTTTTTTAAAAAAAAATCTTCCCAAATTTGGGTATAAATCCTTAAAGTAACAGAGACTAATCATGTGCAATGTACTACATAGAAAGTCCAAGGTAGCAACATAAACCACCTTTTCTGAATTTAAATATAGTCAATAATTTCTCATTTCACATGATAAAAACTGAGCAAATAATTTAAACTACAGCTGTCATGAAGGAAGGAGTACAGACATGAAAACAGTCTTGTGCTTAGGAAACAAGATGTTAAGTAATGAAGAAAGGAGAGGACTGAGTCAAGAAAATGCACCGTTCTACCAGACAGAGCAATTTTTGTAAGAAAGGTGTGAACAAAGGTTTAGGATGGGACATTTAGATTACAGTTTTACAAGCAACAGAAGCAATGGTCACATTACAATGATAACAGGTAGAAATAAAGGTGACCAAAACCCAGAATTCTCTGGAAGCTTCCTTTACTTCTTTAGTAGAAAATGGATGCAATTCCCCTGGATTTTGATGGAGCAGAAAGAAACAGAGGTTTGAAACAAACACACAAATTTCACTGATACGTTTTGAAGGTCACAGATATCACAGGTATATGATAGGGTAAAAACTGAATTAACAAAAGAGGGGAGAATGATAAGGTCAGAAGGAAGAGGTACAGACACAAGAAAGGGTTAGTTTTGCATGCCAGAATATTCAATGCCTGAAAAAAATGATGAACAAGAATGTTAGGAAGCAATGATCCAACAAACCTCTGAGAATAAAGAAATGTTGTAAAGCATAGAAAGAGGAAGGATATAGAACCCAAACCAGAGTTGACTACCTTGGTAAAACAGAAAGTAAAAATCACTTCTAGAGGATAAAAGATCCCAAAAGATGGCAATGAATTTGAAGTATACTGCAAAAAGTATCTGTCACAAGTCCAATGAACACTTCAGAGAGGTCTGAGTCAGGTAAATTTGTAAGAGGTCTTTTCCAATTATGTGAAGCCTCATGGTGGAAAAAGATCACTAATCATCCAGGAAAGGTGCTAGCATAGAGAGAGAAAAAAAAAGAAATGACCTTAGAAAAAGTAGAAGTCTTTGAGGTTATATAATTCCTAATTCTAGAAAGAATTAACATTTGGAACTACAGTTAATTCCCTACAGTGTCAAATATCAACAAGTGTGCCCTATTTCTCTCCTTGCTAGTTTAACAAAATCAGGGATGGGAAAGGGGACAATTCCATCAGTACAACTGATTAACTCCTTAAAAGCAGTCTCCCAGCTGTATGGAGAATAATAAGCCAAAAAGGAATAACTCCATATTATATAATCCATTTAGATAAAATTTGCACGCATGTATGATAAAATGAAGGAGATTAGCAAAGATGCATTATAAAATGCAAAGGGAAAAGCAAAACAAGCAGTTTTTTGCAAAGTATTTACTTCTTTTTGCAAAATAGATTTATTCTGATTGTTTTTAAGTGATTATTATTAAAAGATGTATTACCTGTGAATTTGTATAAAGGGTAATTTGAAAGAAATAAAAGTCTTACATTCTTCTCTTGGAACAGGAGGGAGATGTCTAAAAGTGATTATTGTTACTTTGGCAACTGCCTTGGAAGAACTGACCCACATATTTTCAAAATGCAATATACTCTATGTGACATTAATAATTTAATCATCAAGCCAGTGACTGGACCTGAGATTTCACCACATGCAATGGATATAGTTTTTAAAAATGGTTTCATCTACAGGAACCCACAGAGCTACTGTGGCTCTGTAACAGAAGGAGTAGCTGTAATAGAATTGGTGGGTTGGGTGTCACTTTAAATCATTTCAATTGCTCTGATGGTCCTGGTAAATCCTGAGTACTTTGAGCCTCAGTTTCCTATACTGAAAAAAAAATCATAATTCACTTCAATATTTGATGCAAATAGCAAAAAGCCTAGGTCAAGGATCTGTGAACAAAGCAGACCTTTGTTTTAGAACAGATGCTTAATCTTGGTAAAATATGTCAGGTCAACATGCCAATTTCTTTTTTATCTTTAGATAGATAATGTAATAATAATATCAGAGACACTTTTGAAAAAAGAAAGTCACTAACTCTGTGATAAATGGGGAAAGGAGGATTAGAATATAAGAGAACTGAAACAACACAAGGTTAGTAAGGAATTACAAGTAGACACAATACAAAGAAAGACAAAATGCAGATATGAATACTAATGATACAGATCGCTTGAAGACCTTTATTAGCACTTGTCAGTTTGTTTATGAACTTCACATATCATTTCTCTTGAAAAAATGTGCTCAATAATCCCTTCACTTATTAAAATTGATTTTAAATAACTCAGCATTTTATTATGCAATGGGTAACTCTTGAGTTCTTACTGATCAAGACTAACTTCAAATATCTAATGAAAACTGGGCTCAGCTTTAAAGCAGGATTAAAACAAAGGCAAAGATCTGGAGTTCCTAACTTCAAAAAGTTCATAATCTACTTAATATCTAGTCCCATATTTATACAAGTAACTATATGGTTACCTTAGCAAATAATAGAGGCAGAGAATCTTACTTTTTCTTTATTAACTTGTGATAATAAGGTCTGTATCTCTGAGTCTCATAAAAGTACTCTATACATGAAAATATGCATGTGACTGAAAAATTCCACATACAGTAATAATAAAAAAAACTTCTCATTTTATAGATCAGTCTTATATTATCATTGGGTATCAATCCCCAAAAGGTCCAACTACAAAGTGATCCAATTAAGAATTGCCTATGTATATACTTACTTTTGATAATTCCCCAAAGTTATTAATATCAAGGCAGGCAAGGACACACTTTGTTCACTCTAGCCAGGTACAAATACAACCAGAAAAATTGAAACAGAAAAAAATGTTTTTCTTACATGCCTGGATTCAAGGAAGAAACTTCGAAATAGAGAATCAAGTACTAGATGAAGAAGCAGCATCCCCCAGCATTTCCTTTACAGTCAAGACACTGCATGATACTAAGGCAGGAAGCTGGCAGCAAGGCCTTAGGGGTTTAATAATATCAGAATTTAGAAGGCACATCTCCAACTGACTTATGTCCCATTACTCATGTCCCAGGGAAAATCAGGGCCAAACAAAGCTAAAGTGCAGGAAAGAAATCCTCAGCGTGCCACTTAATCGTTTGTTGGTGCCAAGCTCCAGGGAACCCATTGCCATTTCAATTGGACAAATGGCAGTGCAGCTGAAGAAGCAAAAGAGCAGCTCTGAAGAGAGAACACGACATCTGAATACAGAGTAGGTCCCACAAAGTTCCTTCGGCTATTCAGAACTGGAAAACCAGGGTGAACATAGGGCAATTTAAAGTTTAGTAAACTGTTAAGTAAATACTCAAATGTACAGAATACAGTTTTGCCTTTTTATGCAAGTTCATTTTAAAGAAATAAGCTAAAAAATGTACTTATGAAAGATACTAAATTCTTAGAAAATTAAGAATTATAACAGATTTAATTATTATTATTAAAACAGGTGAAATAATTATTACCAGCTTCACAGTACTTTGTGAATACCTTTTATGAATACCAGTTTTATAGACAACTTTCACCAAAACAAGCCTTAGGTACAAGTTGAAGGAAGTCACAGAAGTCAGGGGTTCACAGCTACCTACATTTTACCTTCATCAGAAACTCTCAAAAGGGCTAACTTAAGAGGATACTAAGTAAATGCAAAGTATCTCACATTACTTTTTCACATATAAAATTAAGCATAATTAATTTCTGTACATAAAATGTTCATTAGTATCACAACAAAGAAAAAAGGACCTGGTGAAAAATTAAGATTCCAAACATTTTAACAACAAACTTAATTATTTACTTCTCATAAACTGACAAACATCTTCTAGAGTTAGTAACAATAAAGTATTAAGGGAAAAAAAAAACTACTTGAAAAAATAACACCTCAGACATTTAGCTAGGTGAACTGTAATGAGAGTGAGGCCTAAGCCTGCTTTTGAATTTAAACTAATGAAGTTTGATATTTCACAGTATTCAAATTCAGGATAGAAGACACAATAAAGATGGACAAAGTACTGCATGATTTTTAAGAACAAACAATATTACATCATAATAATTTCGTCCAGAATATTAATATTTCAAAATCAGGAGTTTTTACATTTGATCTCAGCTGAAAGGCCAAGAAGCAATCAAACTCAGGAGCTCTGGACTATCAGAAACATTAACAGAGTGAAACGTAAGTTTTAATAGTTATTAAATTTCATATCACTGTCCAATGTACAAAATGTACACCCATAACCAAAGTACTTTCAAACAATGCTTTTTTAAAAAATAAAATGAGCAAATTGGACAGTTTTCAATGTTCATGATCCATGAAAATGGAGAGTAGAAAGGGGAGACAGCAACAAATCCTGTGTTCTGAGCTAGGACTGAATTTTAGGCAAGGGAACTAAATTTTTCACATTTCACTGTGGAGAAGAAAAAAAAACACTGGAAGCAATTTGATTAAATGTAAACAAACAAAGCATACTATTTGAGAAATAGATATGAAGAGTTGAATGTTAAACAAGGAAATATTTTTGAATTTTAATCTTTATGAAGAACCAGAGGTCAATTTCATAGCAGCTCAAGCAGATTTAACGTGAAACATCACTCCCTGAAAGAACAACAGGAGCCAAAGGTCTTTCAGGCTGTGTGTGAGATATTTGACTGAAGAAGAAAAGAAATGAAATGTCATTTTAAGATATGCCAGCTACATACTGACTGATACAGTTGTTCTTGTCATTACTGAAGCAAACTCATTTTAAGTGATATGATCCAAAGATGTTTTTAAAGTTTTACTACTGGCAAAAATTTATTTTCCTAAAAAGAATTACCACTTTAAATATTTAATTTACAAGTCTAAAAATCATACATATGCCAAAGTTGATAGCCAATACATGAAAAAATGGAAAAAGACTGCAAGTGAGGATGAATAATTTTAATATGTACAATGTTATTTAAGATACATATTCACTTTTTTCCTCTGTGTAATATGCCTACTTTAAAAAAATACAAATAACTTTCTCTGGATGTATGTTTGGAAGTAAAATTAAAAATAAATTTTGCTTTCATAGACAGAAGTATCCAGACATAACTGATAACAGTAATTTCACTACCCTAAGGCAATAACATGGGGTTATTTTCAAATTAGTTTAAAAGCACCATTAATACAGAATTTTACATTGAAATATGTAATAACCTAGCCAACAAACCAGTTAACCTAAATGAATTACAATAAAACATATCGTTCTTTAAGAACCATTATCTTGTACATCAGTCATGTTAAACGTCAGAGAAGCATTTAATTATGAGTCATGCTGAAAATATTTTATAATCAAGTCCTTACAATCATCTCAATTAAGAATGTGTTAGAGACAAGCATCAAGGGTTAATCACAAAACAATTTGCTATTATGTTTCTAAATTTAGGTTAGGAAATACATAAGTTGGAACAAAACAATACAGAAACCAATTATACCACCAAGAACATCATTCTCAATATATTTTACAGACCACTACAAGAATGAGGAATACCACTTTTTTCACTAGACTTACAGGGCCTGAGCAGGAGATGAGCTAGGATCTGTACTCTAGGGAAAGACTGCATGGCTGCCTTTTATTGTAAGATCATAGCTGCCCCACTCACATTAGCTGTGGGTGAAAGGGGAAGAAAGAAAAAGGAGGCTACTTCAGGTTTCCATAAGCCAATGATGTCAGTCCCTGAATCAAAGTTACTGGTTATGTAAATCCAAAATGACACAAGTCTTTCCCTGAACCCCTTCATTCTGTGACGTACCATCAACACCATCTGTGGTTTCGCTTTCTTCTTCTTCTTCTTCTAGCATTTCAAAAGGAGTCATTATATCATACAGAAATGAGAGGAAACCATAAAACCAATCTGAACTTTCCTCTGCTAAAATATTAAGGACTTCCTCAAGGGAATCAATATTTTCATTACTGCCATCTTTGGTCAGGCCTACATAAGAATAAAGGAAGAGAGAAAGAGAAAATAAGGAGAGCAGTTAGGTGGAAAAGAAGGTGAGAAAGAGTGAGCTCAAAAAGGAGTATATCATGGACACAGAAGTTTACAGAAAAGACATTTTGGAAAATAAAGAAATTGATTAATATGTACAACTTACAATCAACTCTCAATCATTTGCACCAGAAGAAAGGACAATTTGTCCAATCTTCACCAGTCCTATCAGCCTCTAACCAGGTTTGCCTTTCTTTCAATAGAGAATCTAATGTTGAAAAACTGACAAAATTCTATCAGCCAAAACTGATTGACTAATGACAAAGGGGAAAGTGAATGAAAATATTTTAAGGGTGACAAGAAATTTTAACAAATTCCAGATTTGCTTATCAGATATTATCGAGAGTTGATTATATGAACATTTATTTACACACGTCAATAAATTCTTGACATGTGTGATTAAATTCTCAAATTTTTCTCCTTTGGAGTTAAAGAAATCCTGGAATTAGAATGATTGACAGGGCTAATGTTTATATCCTTTGTAAATGGACATGAATGTACTCGGTAGTGTAAAACTCAGTCAACTGACTTAAATTTTAACACTATGAAATCAAGTGTGTTAGCTCTATAATGCTGTAGTTACTGACTCATTGCTCTACAGTTCTGGTTAATGGCAAGAATCAACTATTCAAAAGTCACATTGTTTACCAATATGAAATTTAATCAAGGTTGTTGCCAGTTATATGAAAAAGGAATATTCCAAACTTCTTCTCCATCAGCCTACAAAATTAGCTTCTACTGAAAAGATCCCTGATGTCTGTGGATTCTAACTACTGATCCCAAAACAGGTCACTACAATGAAAACCACACAATGTATATATTTATTTTTAACATTTTGTTTCCTGTTAAGAACTGGCTTTAGGAAGAAAAATTATCTTTGCTACAGCCTACAAAGTTTATGTTGCAAGGTCCATAATTTACAGTAGAGAAAAAAAAATAAGTTAGAGGATTATGGCTATAAGAAAGGTAAACATTCAATATTCTAGAATTTTTCAGATTCCTGAGTTTCAGGCCTTGGAAACACAGAACATAACTATCAGCAATCAAGACTGGCAGGTTAAGAGAAAATGATAACATCACAAGTATAAATATCAAAGATTATAATCCATTTTGTCCACTTTTGTCCATAAAAAAACTACAACATGCTATTCTTCATGCATGGCGGGGGGAGGTAGGGAGGAGAGACAAATTGCAGCTGGTATCTAAACTATTTTTTGAGAAATCCAGAATATTTTTTTTCACCAAATTTAGCAGTTTAATAAGTGCTATAAAGAGATATCTGTAATCCACCCAAGTCTCTATAGGAATAACATTGTCTCTTCTTGCCTTAAAACATGAGAGTTGCTTATTTAGAATAAGCATTTTTATTTTTCTCCATTTTTCCAAGTATCGAATATAAAATATTAATTTACCACTCTTGAATATGGCAAGCTAAAGTGTCCAGAAAATTTATGTTTGAACAAAACCATCTACCCAACTATGCAACCTTCCTATGGATCTCAAGACAAAAGTACTAATCTAAAGAGGAAAGAAAATATTCAGGGAATAGAATTCCTTAACCTAGAAAAGTAAGCCTAAACCAAAAAGCAGGATATAATCCTGTTGCCAGCCAAGGCCCATGCTTCTTATCCCTTCTGCTCAGTCATGCATGCATTCCATCTACAAGTAATTTCTAAGGCATAGAACTGTTGACTGGCTTCCCACAGTTCTCCAGACACATTAGATACGGTGCCAACCAGGTGCTCGGCATAGGACAAAGTGACTCTTGAGATTTACTCCTCAGGTCATTTTCCTCTTGATTTTATTTTGGAAACTAGTTTTCAAAGAACATATTTTCAACCAGAGCAAAGTCAAAGTTACCTTACATTAGATACTTTGGGCACAAAAGCAGGATGTTCTATAACCAGAACAGGCTATGAATATTTCAAAAGTATAAGGGCATGGCTAAAAATAATGAAACAATAAAATGAATGATCACCACTGATTTGACTTACCTACGAAATTTCAAACTATTTCACAAGAAAAGCAAAAACCTTAAAAGAAATACAAATATGAATGTGTCCACTTGTACAAATTTGTAAGTCTTTAAATACATTCAGACTTAGAATCCAGAAAAAAAAAATGAAATAAATGCTTAACCTATGAAAGTCCAAACATCTCAACTGTTACTATATGTACCAGGCCAACCTTTCCCCTGAATCTCAGACTTCCTATATTTATGTCTGCATTTACATACCACCTGCCCTAATCCAAAGCTCTTATTTTGGTGCTGCCTCTCCAATGGATCAGGGAAGTCTCTTTTGGGGCAGAGAGGAGACACTCCCAAAACAATGCCCCCACAACTTCTCCCAAATGTACACAGCCTAAAAATGCCATTAAGTTCTCTTTTTTGCTACCACCTACCCAGAAGAGAGGCAAAACTAAGCTACTTCACAAACTAGAAAAGAAATTTAGTCATAAAGTTCAATTACAACTAAGGTTGTACTTCATGCAGAGAACTCAAAAACTTTAGAAATAATAGAGAGGACATAATTGAGCTAAGAGCTCACTTTTGATTTCTTTCAGAATTACTAAACACACAAGTCAAATGTTTATGTATATAGCAAAAGAGTTTATCTTAGCCTTTGTGCGCTTAGAAGTCAAATTACCAAAGTGTACCCTGAGTTTAACCACACTTGGTTCTATCTGCAAGTATACAGACCTTATAAAAGGAAAACACTTTGACTTGGCCATATACATATGTGTCTATCTGCAAATAATGATAGCTCCAAATTCCAATTAGTTCATCTCTTAACGGCTGCTTAAGAACTGTAAAGGGAATCAATATCTGAAATCTAAAATATAACGCCATAAGTCAAGTTAGTAATAAGTTTGCTCTAGAAATCATGTCCTACAAATGAAGCATTTTCACTTGTAATAGTTGAAATTTCCTGACAGACCAGATAGCTTAAAAAAAATCAACAAAATAAAATAGGTGGGAAGTAATATTTCCTATAGAATAAGATAACATGAAATTATTGTTAACACAAAAAGCTTTACTATTCAGAATCCATCATTTAAAGTAATACAATGAAGTAAAAAAAATTATAATTTGATGCAAGGAAATGTGCATCATTCTGATCTTATATTCTGTGTAAATTTATTTCTCTTGCATGTCTATAATCATAGAGTTCTGAGGATTTACTATATTTATGAAAACTCAAATTTAGATAGGTAATGAAAGAATTACATAGAAATTTTATGAACAGTACATTTCATGAATAGTAAATGTGTACTATTAAGTAGCAACCATAATTCCTATGTAGCAGAAATAAGAAAACATAAGTTATGGTCAAAATTAAAAAGCTATATGACATCAATCACAACAAAAACCCTTTTATAGTATTCAGAACTTACTGTTTTAAAATTAATCTGCTGAAAATAGTTTTATTGGTTACAGAAGTGTTATCCTCTCATTTTTTTATGTCCATAAAAAGTATACAGAATTGTATGGAAGGAAAATTTCTTTGTGTCATTAATATTTCAAGTTTAGCATATAAAGCCATGTTTGAATCACCCTTTTTCTAAGACCTTGGTATAAAACATTTTAATACATTTTAAGCTCCATAGTAAACCAAAGCAAATGATGTTGCTTAATAAACAGAAATACTTATCTCACACTAGGCCAGATTATATAAAATTTACATATAAATTTATCCCCCCCCATTTCTAGTAAAACTTGATCTTAAAACAAATGAGGGAATATCACATCTTTATTTATTATAATAAATATCTAGTGACAAAGACAAGTCTTTAGTGATTAAAATGGGTCCATGACTTCCAGAATAGAGAAACCTAGCTAAAGACTAATAGTTCATTATTTAATGTTGCCATTGACATACACATAGGACCTCTTATCACTATTTTACTTCAAAATGACATTATGTAAGTCTCCAAAAGTTACATTTTTCAGATGTAAGTAACATGTCAAATTATGCTGTAATTATTACATCTGAAAAACAAATTAGGACATATCAGTATGCTGTAATGTTAAACTGAGCTGATGGAGTGCTTTAAATCTAAAAACATACCTGAAATTATGTTTATTAAAAACATGCTAGAAAAATAAACTTATTCACTTATTGAACTGAAATAAGAATGTCTATGGAAAAACAACTAATTGCTTAATGACTGAAGAATAAAACATGATTGAAGTGGAAAATATTCTCCTTTAAAGTATATACAAGTAACAGAGGTATTATTAAAGCCAATAAAGGCAAATATATGCTTTTATTTGCATCAATCCACAACAAAAAACAAAATGTGTACTTGCCTAGTAATACTTTGGCATCATCCACATCAAAATCTCCATCACCATCAGCATCATATACTCCAAGTTTTCCTATAAGAGGAAAATAAAAATAGATATGGAAACAAAACGGAGAATACATTAAGATTCCAATACTTCCTGCAGTCCTGCACATCATTCAAAAATGTTACTTATTAATGCAATTCTTTGTTCTTTCAATCTTTAAAAACATTGTCCAATACCCTCCCTGGTGATGCAGTGGGTTAAAGTACAGTATTAAGAAGCTAAAGCCACTTCAACATGAGTTCCATCCCCGCCCAGGAGGTGACCCATATAGTATGGCAGACCTCTCCTGACCTGCCCACTGCTCCCCTCAGCAGTGTACTTTGCAGTCGGCCTGTTCTGCTCCCTCTCTATCTCTGACAAATCCTCTCCACCGCCCCTGCATCTCTGGCCTGTACCCCACTTCTGTATGCATAAAAAAATAAATCTTTAAAAGAAAAAACATTGCCCAATAAATATCTATACCTGAAAGTAATGGGCAATTCACAAGAAAGTCTGGAAATGTTCAACTAACAAAACCTAAGAAAAAAAAAATTTACATACAATTTTCTTTAAAGGTTTAACAATACCTTGCCTTAATCATTTCAGAACAAATGTTTTCCTAGTACCACTAAAAATATTTTTGGTAGGATTTTCAACATATGTAAGAAAAATTATTGATTCATTTTTAACAGTTACATGACATTTAATGTTTCTCAAGTAGAAAGTTCTTTATACTGTCAATTTTTGGTAGGATTTTCAACATATGTAATAAAAATTATTGATTCATTTTTAACAATTACCTGACATTTAATGTTTGTCAAGTAGAAAGTTCTTTATACTGTCAATTTTCAAAACAAAGGAATGCCCATCAAGCATCAGGATTAAATATAATTTGCATCAATGTAAATACTAAAAATAATTATTAATTAATTTTTATATTTATAAAATAATTTATAATAATTATAAGATAATTAATTTTATATTGTGGAATGATTTACAACAGAAACATAATGAATCAAGCTAAAAAAAATGCCTTGCAAATAAAGTACGAAAAATCAATTTCCTGAAATTACAAAGGAAAACTTAGTTATTCTACTAAAAACTTAGTGAGAACTGGCCATCTGTTACTGAGAAAACAAAGCTTAAAACATATAAGCTGAGAAGATAACACTATGATAGGCTTTCTTCTCCAGAATAGTAAATATGGGCCCTCCCTGGTGGCGCAGTGGGTTAAAACCCAGCACTGAGAATCAAAAACAACTTCCGCATGAGTTCGATCCCAGCCTGCCCTGGAGGTGACCACATGGGGCAGCAGACCTCTCCTGACCCTCCCGCTGCTCCCCTCAGCAGTGTACTTCGTCCATCTGCCTGTTCTGTTCCCCACTCTGTCTCTGGTGAAGCCTCTCACCGCCCCTGAGCCTCTGGCCTGCACCCCAGTTATGTATGCACAAAAAAATAAATAAATCTTAAAAAAAAAAATAGTAAATATGTATCTGAAACCTTTAATGCTTTAATATTAAAGCATTAATGTTTATCATATTTCAAGTAAGTCAAATACATTCAAGTCCCTAGAAACATTCTAAAATCTGTCTTTATCACCATTTGAAAATTAGTTTGAAAAAAATTCATAACAGACAACCATATTTTAAACATTCAAAAACATAATATTAGTACTATAAAAAATTAGCCACACTATTACCATTTCTTTAATAAAAAAATAAATTAAAGCAATATATATATATAAGAATTGGCAGAATTTTTGTAGTAGTGAAGCTATGATAACCAATCTTTACCTTTCCCTCTTCCACTTAGAAAATGGCTAACTTGCTATGTGGAAGTCTGGCTTAGAAAGTACAGACATGATAAAAAATAACAGGTAGATAAGGAAGTTATTATTTTTATTGCTATGAAAACCACAGATCTGCGGGTGGAGGGTACCTACAGAAGAGCACCCAAGTGATGTTAAATATATAAAAATTCTATACTGTCTGATTAACTTAAAAGGAAAAATTGCTGTTCCACTTACATTCTCTGATGTAGGTGATAAATAGTTTAGAAACTAACACAAGAAGACCTGAAAGGTATTTCCAATAGCCTACCTTGAAGTACCTCTGATAAGTTATAACGGAAGTCCTTTGCTTTGGCTGCATGCATGCAAAAATATGAAAATTGTTATTCAAACTTAAATGTACAAATAGTTGAACCTCTTCTTTTGTTTAACGAATGTTCTCTAGGAACTTGTCACTAAGTCAATATAACAAAGGTGTACTCAGAAGTTCATCTCCCAACTAAAATGCTTCCTCTACTAGTCTCCAGATCTATCAAGAGACACTTTCCTTAACTTAATTAAAAATTTCAATGTAGAGAGATTGCACATAAGTTTCTTTTGTTATTCTTTGCCCCTCACACATACACACAACTTCCAGTCCAGAAAAACAGCTATAACTTACACCAGAGGTTCTATGGAAGAGATGTGTTTTCTATACAACAGTACATATAGGGACCGGTGCATTTTTTTTTTACTAACAGGGTCCACATCTTTCACTGTATTATTAAAAAAAGAACATTTATTCCCAATAGGTAAAAGTAGAAGTAACTTGAATGTCCATCACTGAGGAAGGTATAATCAAAATGGATTTTAGTAATAAGATGGATGCATATTAAATGTTGAAAACATTATACTAGTTACAGAAAGACACAAAAAGCCTTTTATATGAAATGTCTAAAATAAGCAAAACCATAAACAAAGTTAATATATTAGCACTTACTAAAAAAGGTAAAGGGGGAAAATATGGCATGGGGGCAGTGGGAGAGTGATGGACATATTCTAGAATTGAATAATGAGCACAGTGTAAATGAGCATACTGAAAAACACTTTATTGTACATTTTCAAATATTTACAATATTGAATTCTACATCAACTTTTTAAAAAGATTTTTGGGGAGGTAGAAAAAAAATGTGTGACTCAAATGGTAAAAAAAACATTAATGCAAAAGATCATGAAAAATTAGAATGATTATAAAGAGAGAAAATGAAAAATAAATATAAAGGACAACTATCAGAAGTACCACAGCAAGTTCCTTGGAGGAGCACACAGACACACACACTTATTCCCACAAAGATATGGGAGGACATGACTTGAAAACACTTTAAGACAGAGTCTTCTGAATAATGTGTTTATGATTCACTGATTCTCTAAATAATCTCAATAGCTCGTGATAATTTAGAATTCATATAACAAAGGCAATAGAAATCATAGAGTATTGCATGAAGTGAGATGAGTCATATTTATTTAGATTTCTCTATGTGATATACATATGGTATAAAGCTTTTTTTTATTGCAGGTCATATTAAAAGAAACTGGAAGTCCCTACTCCATAGTCCTCAACAACCCTTTTTATTCCCACCCTATTGAGAACCACTGAAATACTACAAAAATCAGTAGCACTAAGAAGATGATGATAAAACCTTTGAATTACTAAGGGCTATTACTCACCCTCTTACATATGCACATGAGAAATTATACCAATATTCTTACCTAAAACTTCCTCATAATCAACAAGGTCAAACCAAACAACAGCTACCGATGTCCAGACTCCCAGCAATGCAATGACCATAAACCATGTGAAGAATGAGCTTCCAGAAAGGCCTCCTTTCCTCCCATTCTTGTGTCCTCCATGCTTTGGCTCTGTTTAAAAATAAAACATATAATGCTTTTATATAAAGAAAATGCTGTATTGAATACTTGTTGAGTTATTTCTTCAGTAATTAACTTAATAATATTTATAATGCTAGATTATTCAGAAAAGTTCACTTATATTCTGACAATAATATTACACAAAATAAAGATCATGAAAAAAGATTAAGATTCTGCTTAGGCTCAACAGTATTTATATAATGTGATGAAACTACTGAAGGGTTATTTTTTAAGTCTGATATACAATATATACATGTATACTACATATTAACATGTGTTATATATACTATATATTGTGCCTGATATGTAATAACATTACATATTGAAACTACTGATGGGTTAATGATTTTTTAAATTTATATATAATTTGTACAGATATACAATATAGATAAATATGTATTCCTTCAAGTTAAGTTCTTCATCCAAACTACTTAAGCATTACTTCCTTCAAAGTTTAGAACACAGCAACAACTTAATGAAGCTATAAAGAAATGTAGACAAATACTTTTCTTTCTCATTTAGTTTTTGTAGAATCTGAAAAACTCTTTTAAATGCCACAGAAGAAAATATCTCCCAAAAAGCCCACTCCATATTCTTAGGCAGAGAAAGAATAAACTATAGAAAATAAGAGGTCAGGGAAGAAGAGAAGTAAAACAGTGCAGCAATTCAGTCCTGCTCAGTCTCAATTGGTCTCAGTCAGGGAAAAAAAAAAAAATTGCTTTCTAAACTGCTGTCCACCCAATGTGCCACATACCACATTGATATTATTAATATTACTTCTTTTAAAGAAAAGATTAAATGATTCACCCAAATTCACAAGCACAGGTTGGGTATTTTAGGAAGTAAACACTGACTTTATGGTCCAGTGTTTCTTGATCCATGAGTGAGCAAAATTATGTAATTCCAAACCTGCTTTCTGACTACTAAGTAAAGTACTAATTACATGATGTGAGCATATATATTAATATTTGATTTTAATATATCTGGAACAACCACCACCAAAAAATATTGAAAGGGATTATTCTTATGCAAAAGATGCACAAAAAAAGGAGGCTATAAAATCAAATCATCCTGAGGAGGGGGGAATATATACAAAAATACACATATTTATCCATATTTATAATTCTTATATATATATATAAATATATACACACACAATATATTTAGATTGCTAAAACTGTTACAATTACTGATTATGATTACCAGTCATCACAGTTTTATATTTAGTTTTAATGAGAAAGTTAATTCCCCTTTTCTAATGTTCTAAAGATATTAATGGCCCTATCAAAATGGAAAAAAAAATTCATATGGTAAATTCATGAAAGGATCCTAAGCAAATAACATACAGTTGTCCAATTTGTTTCTAATGTGTTCCACTGAATGTCTCCAAAGAGTTAGTTATATAAGATATAATTTATATACTTAAAAATAAACATTCTGGGCCTAAAATCACACTACTGTATAAATTTGTATTACTACTTGTATAACCACCAATTATAGTAAAAATAATGCATTCAAAAATACCCATTTACTTCCAAATACAGAACATAGTAGCTAATGACAAAGAATTTTTCTTCCTGGGCTAGTACTTAGGCAGCCTCTAAGAATCATATTTAAAAAATATATTTAAAATAAGAAATAAAACTGCAGGAAAACTGAGTTCTTATCTTTTCTTGGACATTGAACATCTTTCAACATGAAATCACAATGATTCTATTTAGAATAAGTTTACATTGAAAGAGTTAACAAAACAAAATAATTCAGATTCATAGTTCAATGCTTTGTCCATTTTTCTCTTTCTTAAAGTAGAGGGGGGAAATCCTGAGATCCTCAAAAGGAAAGAATCATCCATCCACATTAATTTACTAATACTCACCTAAATTACTAATCTCAAACATCAAATGTAGATAACAACATATGAAAATGGAGGCAAGAGATTAGGAGGAAAGGAGAAAGCCAAACAAATAAAGACTACACCTTTACCTAAAATCTATTCACATTTATTTTAGACTTGATTCTAACAACTGCAATCAAATTTCCTTACTCACTGCACCAAACTAAAGAACAGATTTCAAACACAGTCTAACACAAATGATTTAAAGCAAGAAATGCTGTTGGAAGGTCTATAAAAGGCAATAGCATAGGGCAGCAAGAGTTGTGGTAAGCGGCCATTTATGGTTGATGCTTGTAGGCAAACCCTGACCAGTCCTTAAAATAAGCTCTAGTACAAAGCAATGAGTGCTATTCATATTGAATCAGTCACTGAAATATTATTTTAATCTGTTAGAAAATGCAAAAAAAAAGTATAATAATCTTAGGAAGATTTTTAGTCAAAATATTTTATTAAAATACTTATCATTTAAAAAGGTAAATATCAAAAAAAAAGTAAATGTTAGAATATTAAATTATTAACATTTTCTCCATCCCTTTATAATGTCAAATAAACAGTTTGCTACACAAATATACCAATCTTATTACTGCTAATAGTTACTAATTCCATAAGGGAACAAAACAGTAAATTACAGAAAGAAGTCTTCTCTAAGACATCTTTATTAGGAGAACTTTTCTTATCAACACCAAATAATACTTTTGAAATGTCACTTGCATAAATTTGGTATGTCTGCTCCCCAAGGGCAAATAAGTATCTGGCCAATTAATCTCAAAAAGAACATAATAAGAGAGGAAATACTCCAAAAGGGTTTAAAACTCCATTAGCAAAACAGTACTTTGTTCCAAAGATATTCTGAAAGAATCTAGGAGTTGTCCTTATTTATTAAGATCAGAATAAATCCAGATACTTCTGACTCCATACTTAACCACTAGATCCCAGAGATTATTAAGAGAGAGCTTCTTAAACAGGGTTAAGCATATGGGGGAAAGAAAAAAAAAAAAACCTGGCAAAAATAACTCTCAAACTGCAAAAAAGCTATGATGGCTACCAGAGGGGACCTAGTATGGTGCAGGCGGCCATATGACAGAGTGCCAGCACTGGAATTCTGGTGGTGGGCAAGCGCAGCAATCTGTGAGCTGAGGGACGTGGGAAGCTATACTTCCAAAATCAGGTTCCTAAAGGAATAAGCACATCAATAAAATTTGATTAAGGCAAAAAAAGAAAATGGCAAGAACTGTGTCACTCGCTTTTTCCACTGACCCATCAAAAGTGTATGACCTCCAAATCAGACAACGTTGTTCTTGCATGCCACCAAATACAGAAAATTACCGTGGTAAGAAATGGAATGTGCTTCTCTCCAAAATGAAGACTGGGCTAGGGACCACAGGTAATTTATTTAGCTGAGGAAAGGGAAAAGGGAAAATGCATACAGCACCTGAATGGCAGTCAGATGACCTGCGTGGGCTACCCCTGAGTTACAAATCAACCATGAAGTTGTTTTAGTTGGCATCATGCTGGCAGTTTTATTGACAGTTGATACATAAACGCTCCACAATTCATCAAATTGATTTTTTTTTTTTACACAACTAGGTGTAACCCTTAGTAACCAAGTATTATTGAAAGTAGGTCAGAAGGAGTTGATTTTATCTCTCTTGGAGAAATGGGATCTATGCAGGGGAGAAATGTCTTCTACAAGCACTAAAAGCAGATGCATGCCTCATTTTTTTTCTTGGCCACGTGGAGCACTTGATCAGAATAGTCAAGTGACCCATTCCAACCAATTACTCAACACAGTGTTGAACGCAGAGAGACTCATATTCCCATACTAATAATAGAATCCCTGCTGTGGCTGCTCAGGAGCTCAGAGCTGGGCACTATTTAATACACCTACTATTTGTTCTTTTTTAAACAAGTATTCTACACAATGAGTCAATGCAACTTGTTTTCAATTAAATGAAAAGACAATCTTAATGTATAAAGTAAAGCAAAAACAAACATATACAAAACTAAGTTCAACACATCATCAAGAGCATTAAAAAGTTTCAATTTCAAAAACAAAGTCTAGTGTCTGGCACCTTTATCACATGCTTCACAAAAATTAGGTCAGTTTCAAGTCTTTGCTTGAACCAATTAAGTGTGCTCATTTATGCAAGACAGAATTATATCTATCCATTAAACTTCCTATAATTTTACGTGGTATCTGAATCCATAAAATTCCTTTAAGATTTACTTAAAGATTAAGGGAGATTTCTTGTACATTTTCTGAAAATTTGTAAAATATGGTGTCTAGTAGTACAATATACTAAAAGATACTCTAAGCTCAGACATTAAAACATTTCAATTAGAAACAGATTAGTCCATGAATAATAATACTGTGAAAAGTAGATGCCTCCAGGAATTCAAAATAGAAAGTGCAGAAGATGGAGTCAAAGCACTTAGGCAAAACTATTTTATAAGACCACAACCAAACATAAGCTAAAATTGATCAGCTAGTGCCTCACCCACTTTTAACCCACACAATAAGAGTATAATTCTACCTTCAACCATTTTGATTTCTTCACTCCATGTATAATATATGTTGAAGAAAAAAGAAGCCCAGGCCCTCTCAGCAGATATCAGGCATTCTGCGTGCCCTTCCGTACTGGAGTGTTACTTTGGCTACTGCTCTCCGGCAAGTCTCTAGATCTGAAATAGGACCTGACTGCAAACTCTGCTCAGCAGTTATTTTTAGGGGCCTTTTCCCCAAGGCCAAAAACTGCTAATCACTCAGGCTGAATGCACTCCTAACAATCCAACAGCCTTTCTCCCACTCATGGATTCCTTTCTCAGTCTGATCTTCCAGCTCCAACCCCATCTACTCTCAAAATCAAGCACATTAGATTCTGAAACAGAAAAAAAAAAAGAAGCAGAACAAATTGTGCTGCCAGTTCTATTTTCTTGGAATCGGTCTTCAATGGTTTAGCCTAAGTACCAAATCATTCAGATATGAAACAAGTCTTGCTATAAAATGTGGCCCCATGCCCAGAAACGGCTTGATTTGGTCCTTCAGAATCTAATCACATGCCTCCATGAAAAGATCATTACTTGGTTTGGTTGAATG